GTAAGCATCTCATAACATGGATGAAACTGGAGACCATTATGCTGAGTGAAATAAGTCAATCACAAAAGGACAAATATTGTATGATACCTCTACTATAAAAACTTAAGAAATAGTTTACACACAAAAAGAACCTTTGTTGGTTACAAGGGATAGGTGGGGTGTGGGGGGGGGAGTACTAAATAGACAATAAGATAAGTACCAACTTTGGTGAAGGGTAAGACAGTACACAATACTGGGGAAGCCACCACAACTTGTACAAGGAAAGGTCATGGAAGCTCCATAAACACATACAACTCCCTGAGGGACGGAATTGCTGGGCAGAGGGCTGTGGGGACCATGGACTCAGGGAACATCTAGCTCAGTTGGCGTGACACAGTTTATAAAGAAAACGTTCTACGTTCTACGTTGGTGAGTAGCGTCTGGGGTCTTAAAAGTCTTTGAGCAGTCGTCTAAGATACTCCACTGGTCTCACCCCTTCGGCAGCAAGGGAGAATGAAGAAAACAAGATCCAATGGAAAGATTAGTCCAAAGAACTAATGGACCACAACTACCATGGCCTCCACCAGACTGAGTCCAGTACAACTAGATGGTGCCTGGCTACCACCACTGACTGCTCTGAGACGGATCACAACAGAGGGTCCTGGACAGAGCTGGAGAAAAATGCGGAACAAATTCTAACTCACACAAAAAAACCAGACTTACTGGCCTGACAGAGACTGGAGAAACCCTGACAGTATGGCCCACGGACACCCTTTTAGTTCAGTAATGATGTCACTCCCAAGGTTCACCATTCAGCCAAAGATTAGACAGCCCCGTAAAACAAAACGAGACTAATGGGGCACAACAGTCCAGGGGCAAGGACTAGAAGGCAGGAGGGGACAGGAAAGCTGGTAATAGGGAAGCCAAGGTTGAAAAGGGACAGTATTGACAAGTCGTGGGGTTGTTAACCATTGTCATAGGGCAATATGTGTACTAACTGTTTAATGAGAAACTATTTGTTCTGTAAACCTTCATTTAAAGTACAATTTAAAAAAAAAAAGGAGAAGAAAAGAAAAAAAGAAAAGTGGTAAGACCGGACCCTGTCAAAGGCAGAAAACTTTCAAGACCCTGAAAAACAAGGCAGTCCTGCTGAGTTCCGGCTCTCACAGTTTTCATTGTATGAGAATTTTAATTCCTTGCTCCACATCCTTGTTAGCACTTGGAATTGTCAGCTTTTTTTTTTTTTCCCTTTAGCTTTTCTTATATGCAGTGGTATTGCGTTGTAGTTTTATTCGTATTTCTCTAAAAAATATTGATCTTGAACATTTTTTCATGTGCTTATTTGCCATCTATATGTGTTCTTTGTTCAAATTTTTTGTCCATTTTCTGGAGTTGTTTTCTTATTATTGAGTTTTGAGAGTTCTTTTTGTATTCTAAGTATAAGTCCTTTATAAGATACAAGATTTCAAATATTTCTCCTAGCCTGTGGCTTGTGCTTTAATTTTCTTAATCATGTCTTTCAAAGAGTAGAAGGTCTTAATTCTGGTGAAGTCCAATTAATCAAAAAAATTATTTTTTATAGATTATGCTTTTGGTGTTGTGTCTAAGAAATCTTTGCCTATCTCCCAAGGTCACAGAGATTTTCCTATTATCTTGTAATCATTGTATAGTTTAACATTTAGGCCTTTGATCCATTTGAGCTAATTTTTTGCATAGTGTTTGAAGTATGGATTAAAGTTTATTTTTGTTTTTTGCATGTGAATATCCGATTGTTCCAGCACTATGTTTTGGAAAGACTATCCTTTCTTTGGTGAATTGTCTTTGCAACTTTGTGAAAACATCAGTTGACCATATACGTGCAGATCTACTTCTGGACTCTATTCTATTCCATTGATGTCCATGTCTATTTTTCTCCAGCACCATACTGTAGCTTTATAATCAGGCAGTATAAATCCTCCAACTGTGTTCTTTTCTTCCTAAATTGTTACGGCTATTCTCGTTCATTTGTGTTTCCGTATAAATTTTAGAATCAGCTTGTCAATTTCTACAGAAAATCTCTGCAGAGATTTTGATCGGAACTTTCTTGAGTCTATAGATCAACTTAGGAGAGAGTTGACATGCTTAATAATACTGAGTTTTCTGATCATTAACATGGTATAACTCACCATTTGCCTTAGAACAGGAGTCAGCAAAGTATAGCCTGCTGACTGTTTTTCATAAATAAGGTTTTATTGGAACACAGCTACGTTCAATAGTTTACGTATTGTTTGTGGTTGCTTTTGCACTATAATGGCAGAGCTAAATAATTGCAACACAGACTGTGTGGCCCACAAAGCCTAAAATAATTTCTCTCTGGCCCTTTACAGAAAAAAATTGCCAACATCTGCTTTAGACAAAAATTAAAAATAAGATAAAAATGTTTTTATATTTACTTTTATTTATTCCATTTCCCACTCTTTAGTGTGTGTGTGTGTGTGTGTGTGTGTGTCTCCAAGTTTCTATCTGTTCTCAATTCCTTTTGCCTGAAGAACTTATCTTTACTTTTTTTGTTGTTGTTGTTGTTATGTAGTACTGATCTGCTGGCAATGAATTCTCTGCTTTTGTCTAAGAAAATCTGTATCTGTTCTTCAGTTTTGAAAGACATTTCTACAGGGCATATAATTCTGGGAAGAAGGTCTGGTTATCTGCTTCTGAAAATTAGCCAATAACTTTATGGCTCACAACAGAACTTTTCCACCTCTCTTGCTTTGGACACATCATCAGGAGGGATCAATTGCCAGAGGAGGACATCATGTTTTGTGAAGTTGAGGGTCAAAGAGGGCATGGGAAACCCTCACTGTGATGGACTGGCATGATAGTTGCCACGATGGACTTAAACATACTGCCAATTGTGAGGATGATGCAGAACCAGGCAATATTTTGCTCTGTTGTACATAATGTTGCCAGAAGTCGGAGTCAACTCAATGGCAGCTAACACAAACAACATTCTGGGTTTACGGGTGAGTGTCTGTTTGTTTGTTCCCCAGCACATTAAATATGTCACTTCACTGTCTTCTGGCATACATAGTTTCTGATGAGAAGTCTACTACAGTTCTTACCCTTATTCCTCTGTATGTAATGTGCCTTTTTTTTTTCTTAGCTGCCTAAAAGATTTTCTCTTCATCTATACTTTACAGCAGTTTGAATACTATATACCTAGGTGTGGTTTGTTTTTTGTTTGTTTTTTTGGTATTTGTCTTTCTTGGTGTCTTCTGAATTTCCTGGACCTGTGGTCCGGTGTCTGTCATTAATTTTGGAAAATTCTTGTCCATTGTTTCTTGAAACATTTCCTCTGCTTCCTTCTTTCTTCTCTTGGATGTTCTGCTCTATTTTGCTTGTTTGTTTGTTTTGTATTTCACTCATTTTTTCCCTTTTTATTTCAGTTTGGGTAATTTCTTTTACCTGCCTTAAAGTTTACTGATTCTTTTCTCAGTTTTGTCAAGTCTACCAATGAGCCCAAGTAAGACATTCTTAATCTCTTTCACTGTGTTTTCATTTCTATGTGATTCTTTTTAGTAGCTTTCATATTTCTGCTGAAATTACCCATCTGATCATACATGATGTCTACTTTTCCACTAGAGACTTTAACAAATTAATCATAGTTATTTTAAATTCTATATCTGACAGTTCTGATATCTGGCTCCAGTCTTTGTTTTTTCTTACTTCTTGGTGTGCCTTGCAATTTTTTATTAGAAGCTAGACATCTTGTGTAGAACAGTTGAGACTGTGATTAAGTTTTTATGCCTGGAAGTGGGTAACCATCCCTTCTGCTGGGCCCTTACTGTAGGGAATTAAGTCAATATAGTCAAGAGTTGAGCTGTGCTTGACAATTGTTGTTGCTATGATTATAGTCAGAGCACCAAACCAAAAACTAAATCTGTTGCCATTAAGCACTAAGGGTTTTAAAGTCCTGGTGGTGCAGTGGTTAAAAGCTCAGGCTGCTAACCAAAATGTTGGCAGTTTGAACCCACCAGTTGCTTCTCAGAAACCCTATGGGGCAGTTCTACTCTGTCCTATAGGGTTGCTATGAGTTGGAATTGACTCAATGTCAATGGGTTACAGGAACATTATGTTGTATTTAGGGTGGGGCTTTGTTTGCCAGCAAGGTTTTCTCAATATCTGTTCCACCCTCAACTTTGGGTCTTCCATTTGCTCTGCACCTCATAGAGGGTCTCTCTTCATGTTCCCAGCAGTAGTCTGCTGTTACTTGTTACTTGACACTTGTTAGCCTGGTGGTGAGGAGTGGAGAGGATGCTCTGTTGTTCTGATTAAGTCTCACTTTTAGGTAGGTGGTGTGTCCCTGGGTCTTGGGGGTGAAGCTTTTGCAGTGATCTTGCGCTACCCCTTGCTGTACATCTAGGCCCAATATGTATTCCTGAACTTTTCCCAGAGTAGAGGGGTTTTCTGTTCCCTTTCCATTACTGCACTGAGTTTTCAAATCCCACCTCCACCACTGGTAGCTGTGTGACCATGGGCAAGCTCAAGTCGTCTGATCTCTTTGAGCCTCTGTTTTCCCATCTGTGAAATGGGAATAGTCACGGTACCTACCACATAAAGTTTTTGTGGGAACCAAAGGAGAAAATGAATGTAAAGGGCTTGACTGGTGAGTGTCCTATAAAATGGAAGCTTCTTGCTACTATTATCAGGCTTTCCCAAACCAGCCTCGTGTCCCTTTTGACTCATCCAGAGTCCCCTGGCCACTCTAGAGAACCCCATTTGTGCTACTGACTAACTACTTGATCTTGGACATGTCTTTTTTCTAAGAGCCCCTTGGAGGTGGCTTCAGAAGGGCCTTAAACTTAGCCATATCCCCTCAGGCTCAGGCCATCCTTGCCCATGCTCTAACTCCTCCCCCTGGGGGTCATGACTTTGTTTTCTTCTAAAGACCAAAAATTTCCAAACACTGTGGTTGCCTTGCCTAGTAAAAAAAAGAGGAAGCCGGAGATCAACCCAAGGAGGAGGAGGAAGACAACAGCCAGTGCAGTGAAGAGGAACGTGTGTCCAGTGGTCCTGATCCCCAAGGAGCTAGTAGCTGGGAATCTAGAGCCCCACTCATCCTCCAGTCTTGCATCAGCCTGGCCTCTTTCCTACTGTGGCCATGGGCCCGTGGGCTCTACTGGTCCTCTTGATGGCCACAGCCTGGCATGGTAAGAACAGAACTGGGGGACTCGGGGAGGGAATGTGACAGAGAAAGCCCTCGTGAAAGGATTCACCTGTCCCTGCACTCTGTGTTTCCATTTCCTCAGCATTGAATTGCCGGTCTATGGGTATCTGCTTTGGAGAGATAGTGGAGGAAAAAGAGGGTGAGGGTGGGGTGGAACTAGCCTGGCGCAGAGTGGTATATCCATCCCAGCTTAGCATTGATTCATTGTATGTCCTAAACTAGTCCCAGATACTCTCAGAGTTTCGGTGTTGACATCTATTCAGTGGCAGACAGAGGGGCGGTGATGGCATAGACTGGAGCAAAGCTTTTCAAACTTTAGTGTGCACCTAAATCACCTCGGGATCTTGCAGATTTTGACTCAGTAAATCTCAGGTAGAACCTGAGAGTCTGCAAGTCCCACAAGTTCCCAGGTGGCGCGGATGCTGCCCCGAAGGGGTAAGGAGCAAGGCAGTTGTCATTGGCTGGAAGCCTTGGGTAAGGGGTTGGAAAGGAGAGACAAGCGGTTGGTCTTTGGCCAGGGCTCAAGAGATGGAAATGTGGGGATAGAGAGGTTTAAGGATGGAGGAAGGCTTGAGAGGTAGGGCAGCAGGGTTCTCCCCAGCCACAGCCCTCCCAGACATAGGCTGCCAGGGCCCCAGGATGGGGAGCTGTGTAGGACACCACACCCCCATCCAGGCAGCAGCAGTGACTGCAGAATTTCCATCTAGGAGAGGCCCAAATTGGAAGTGAGGAGCTAGTGTGCTTGGCTTGTAGCTACAATTGGCCCAACAAACATGGTTCTTATTTAATCATATGCTTATTTGAAGGGGTCTTCGGGGATGATGGAGATTGGGGGAAGGTAACTAAAGCTCCAAGCCACCCCTTGGCAGTGCCACTGCAGATGACCTTAGCTCTGGCCTCCAACAGTCCAGGGCTGCAGGACCACAGGGAGTTGGCATGGCTGGTCTCTGATGAGGAGATGGCCCATTAAAGTCTTTTTCTGGCCCAGTAATCCCTTTGGGCTGGAGTGTTTTTTTGTTTGTTTTTTTATTGAGGTATGATTTACATGTAATAGAAAGCACAGCTTCTAAAGTGTACAGCTTGATGGGTTTTGATAAATGTATACGCTTGTGTAGCCCGCATCCCAATCCAGATAGAAAACATTTCCATCACCCAGATGGGAATCCTTGGGTTTGATTTTACTGCCTTGTCCTGCCCTCACCCCCAGAACCTGCCTGTAGGGGCCTGTGGGAGGTTGTCCAGTGCCTAGCCCCAGCAGAGATGAGGAGCAGGGGCTGGAAACCTAGGCTTTCTGCCAAATAGACAAGTGGTGAGTGAGTAGGGGGTGCTCTGAAGGAGTCAGGGGATGGTGTTGGAGCACCCTAAGGATGGGGAGAGGCTCGCTTCTCCCGGTCGCTGTGACAAGTCGCTGGGACTGAGGAGGGGCTGAGTCCTAACCTTGGTGCACTGTGTGTGCGTGTTGAGGGGAGTGGAGGAAGGGGCATGTCCTGGGAGCTGATGATGGAGGGGTCTGGTCAGGCCAGTGGGCAGGGGTGGAGGGACTTGGGAGCTAAGATGAGAGGTGAAGGCAGTACAGGTGCAGAAGGGGGACGTGGTTGGTGTTCATCAAGCCCCTGCCCCCAGCTCCAGAGAGGAAAGGAGCTGAGCAGTCTTTCCTTTCCTGCCAGCCATGCCAGCAAGGGGAAGTTGGAGGCAGAAGTTGAGGGTGTCAGCCCTGTTCTGCGTGAATATCCGGGACGACAGGATTGGACCAAACAGGACAGACGTCTCTCTCTGACCACATTTCCAGGAGGCCAAGGCAGGAGCTAGAGGGACAGGCCGGGGGAGGGGAAGCTGCCTGTGTGGCTGGCAGGTGCAGAAACAGAACACAGCACGAAATCACTAAGTCCAAGGACGTGGGATATTATAATCATAGACTGTGAATAAAATAAAGTCTTTGGAGATCAGAGTTTCAGGGCCAGAAGAGATGTTAGAAATGTAGCGACTGAAGCAGTAGCTCAGAAGCAGGGACACTTGACTCTGAGCCAGGGGCTGCACATTATCTCATTGAATCTCCCCGGAATTTGTCAGAGGTGGGAGACTCTGGGTGGTGCAAATGGTTAACATACTCAGCTACTAGCCAAAGGGCTAGAGATTACAGTCCACCCAGAGGCACCTTGGAAGAAAGCCCTGGCAATCTACTTCTGAAAAATCAGCCATCGAAAATCCTATGGAGCACAGTTCTACTCATGGGGTTGCCATGAGTGAGAACTGACTCAATGGCAACTGGTCTCAGAGGTGGGAACTCAGATTATTCCCTTTGAATGAAAGAGGAGTCTAAGCCTACTAAGACAGAGAACCAAGTTCCAAACCCAAGTTGATGTAACCCCACAGTTCGAGCTCTTTCCTGCAGTAAAACCCCACTTGGGTGCCTGGATTGCCTTGGTAGTAATGGGCAGCTGCAGCTCCGTTCAGATTTGCAGAAAGCCTGCCAGAAATAACATGTGTCCCCTTCCCTGGTAGTCACACCACACATGAGGGCTACTGACAGCCCTCAGGGGTTGACTTTGGCAGTATTTGTGGGTTCACTTGATCCCTTATGTGGATCAGAGACAGCCTACACATCCCTGATGGATACAAAATCAAAACATAAATTAAGCCATCCAAGAAGTATTTGACAGAGAAGGTCTTTCTAAATCGGGGGTCTATGTGGAGGGATACCCATTTAAGGAGCAGCTGTGGAGAACAATAGAGAAGCCCCGGGTCCCCCAGGGCTCAGAGGCCAGCACCAGAGTGTTGCTGGGCCCCATCGCCTGGAACAGAAGGGGCTAGAGCAGAGGGAGCTGGACTTGCCAGGGTCACCCAGTATGTCAGTGGCAGAGTCAGGCTTCATAGCCCAGAAGCCCAAGGTGTTTCCATGTCCAGCAGGTGGCACCCCGTCTCCAGGGGTCTCTCTCCTGGAGAGGTGACAGTGGCCAGGAGGGTGGGGAAGCAGAAGTGAAAACATCCCCAGGAGAAGGGCTGTGGGCTGAGAGGAAACTGGGGGCTGGGCCAGGGGGCCAGCAATCTGTTTCCGCCCACGCAGGCCAGGGGCGCCTGGCAGCCCCTCCAAGGCCTTGAATCAGTTCTCACTTCCCTCCTTTGGTCTTATTTTAGGTCTTGGAAAAATGCTGACACTGAAGGGGCAACGGGCCTTCTTCCCGGAGGGCCTGGTATGGGTTTCAAGTTCTCTTTTCTCCTTCAAGAAAATTTTCCTTAAAAGAGATTGGCTCTCCAGTAAACACAGCAGTGCTGGGGCTCAGGAATGGGCTGATGGGGGTAAACTAGGCAATAAACATGAAGGTCAATTATTGTTGAGTACTTACGTGGTGACAGATGATGTTCTAAAGCTTTCCATGCATTTAAGCCTGCTAACATCCCAATGAATGGGTACAATTATTGTCCCCATTTTAGAGATGTGGAAACTGAGGCACAGAAACTGTGTCCAGTGCTCACAGGTGTTAACAGGGGCCTGGGATTGAAATCTAGGAAGCTTGACTCCAGAATCCACACTCTGAACCATCCCACTGTGCTACAGACCAGACATCCAAAAGTAGGAGTAGATACACAGACAGCTCTCAGAACCTTCCCACTCTGCTGGGCTAAGAGCCTGCATTCCTTTTTCTTCTTCTCCATCTGAATGCAGCCAGAGGAGTTGGCCAAGAACACTCCATTCATTTGTTTCTTCATTTGCTTGTCTGAGCCTCCTGTTCTGAGCTGGGCCCTGGGCTGGGCACTGGGGATCCTGAAGGACCCACTTTGGACAAGGGGCTAGAGGAGTCTTCTCCTGGAGTGAAGAATGATACAGTCGCAGCTGAGAAGGAGGTGGGGGGAGCCCAAGTGGGACAGTGGCATGGGTAGGGGGCCGAAAAAGCTCCCAGTCCCCCTGTCTCAGAAGAGAGGTTTGTTGGATATCAGAAATATCAGCTCATCCCTAAGCAGGTTTGGGGTAGGGGGCTGAGCAAACGACCAGAGAGGGGCAGGGACTTGCTCAAGGTGATCCTGCAGGTTGCAGCTGAGCAGAGGCCTGGCCCAGCCCAGTACCTGTACCAGCCCTGCTAGGGCACCACCATCTCAGAGGCAAGGAGCACCCTGGGGCGCACTGAGGCCTCATTTTCTCTGCAATCCCATCCTCCTAGGTCAGGGGATCCCGGTTATAGAGCCCCAAGGCCCAGAGCTGGTTGTGGAGCCAGGCACACCAGTGACCCTGCGATGTGTGGGCAATGGCACAGTGGAGTGGGACAGCCCTATCTCGCCCGGCTGGACCCTGGGCCATGAGGCCCCCAGCAGCATCCTGACCACAACCAATGCCACCTTCCGAAACACGGGGACCTATCACTGCACTGAGTCTGGAGAACTCTCGAGGGGCGACGCCAACATCCACCTCTTCGTGAAAGGTGAGGACTTCACTTCATGACCAAGAGGCCCGTTCCAGCAGGTCCCACTAGGAGTGGGCAGTGGGGGGTGGGGCAATGTTAACAGAATGATACCAGCGCCCTGCTTGTTGAGCGCCTACCATGAACAAGGACCTGTGGCAGCACTTCTAATTTAATGTGGTCCTCACAATAACCCTGGGAGGGAGGTCCTAGGAGGATGCCCGTTTTACAGAGGCTCAGAGGGGTTGAGTCATTGGCCCAAAGTCACACAGCATCAAGTAGTGGGGCTGGGACTGGAACCCAGGTGCATCTGACTCCACAGCCCCTCTAAAGCATCAGCTGAACTGTCCTGCTATTGTCCCTTCCCTTCACCCCTGTCCAGGGAGTGCTTGGCTGGCCTGGTGGAGAAAGGGCAGTTATAACTCTGTATCCCCTCTACCTCAGATCCTTTTCGTCCCTGGAACATCCTGGCGGAGGAGGTGACAGTGCTTGAGGATCAGGACGCACTGCTGCCCTGCCTGCTCACTAACCCGGAGCTGGAGGCTGATGTCTCGCTGGTGCGGGAGCGGGGCCGGCCTGTCCGGCACGACACCAGCTACTCTTTCTTGAAGTGGCGTGGCTTCACCATCCACAAGACCAAGTACCTTGACAGCTCGGTCTACCACTGCAGCACCCTGGTGGGTGGCAGGAAGGTGCTGTCCATCGGCATCCAGCTCAAGGTGCAGAGAGGTGCGTGGGGCAGGGCAGGACAGGTGAGGCACGGAGGGCAGAGTGGAGAGCTGGCAGCATGTGGGCAGTGGCTGGGAGCCAGGCCTGATGGGAGGTCATGGGTGTCCTCCTTCTTTCACTTCTTCCTTCCAACCATTCTGCAAACTTCTATCGGACACCTGCTGGGGCAGAATGGGCAAGGGTGTAGGGGTGGGGAGACAGACCACAGGCAAATAAATCACTCAATGGGCAAGAGCACCTGTGATAATGAGACATGCTATAAAACAAAGAAAAGAAAGGAATGGAATGGAGAGTGTGCGTGAGCGGAGGGGGTATCTCTGAGCAAGTGACACTTTATCTGAGCTGAGATTGACTGATGGGAAGGAGGTGAGCCTGTCAAGATCTGCTCCTGCAGAAGAGGCAGCAGGTACAGCGTCAGGAGGTGGGAACAGGCTCCAATTGTCCCAGGAACTAAGGGAGACCTGGAGCTCTCCCACACCTTCAGACGTGGTACCAGCATGGTGCTGGGCCCTGAGTACATGAATGTGGAGGTGGTGAGCCAAGAGATGGGAGTGGGGGTGAGCACACAGGACATTTCTCGATGTGGGTGGTGGTGGGAGGAGGGAGGAGTCTCACACATCCTCTGCCCCCACTCTCCTACATCCCAGGCTGGGGACAGAATTTTGGTTTCTAGAAGGACTGGTGAGAGCAAGCAGAGCCCCATGCTCAGGACCTGGACTTGAGATAGGAATTAGGACCCTGTAATGAGGGCTAGGGTCAGAGTGGGGCAGCTGGGCCTGAGGTGGCTAAACCTGCCCAGGAGGTCAAAGACCCCAGGGGCATGGGCACAGGAGACCATTAGGGCTCTTTCCCGGCACCTCCATCCTGCAGAGCACTAGGCTGGCTGGAAGCCAAGAGGCCTGGGCCCTAGTTCTGCTGTGACCCCCTTGGTGACCTTGGGTGAGGCACTTGATGCCTCTGGACCTCAGGAAACTGGACTACAGCATCTTTCAACAATAGCAACAGTCAAAAATGTTAATTTAAAGCCTACTATGTATCGGGCGGGAACGCTGGTGGCGTAGTGGTTAAGAGCTACGGCTGCTAACCAAAAAGTTGGCAGTTCAAATCCACCAGGTGCTCCTTCGAAACCCTATGGGGCAGTTCTACTCTATCCTATAGGGTCACTATGTATCTGGCACTGTGCTAGTTGCTGCAGAGATTGCCTTCACGGACTTGACATTCTACTGGGGGACACAAACTCTAAAGAAAATAAGTACAAATTGTGATAAATAAGAAATCAAGCTGGAAAAAGCTGGGAGTGGAGGCATAATTCAGCTAAGCTGGTCACAGAAGGCCTCTCTGAGGAATTTTTGAGCTAAAAAAACCTAAGGATGAGAACAGCCACTCATTCAAGCATGGAAGGAAAAACATTCCAGGTTGGAATGGCAAGTGCAAAGGCCCTGTGGTGGAGAAGAAGGCCAGTGTGGCTGCAGTGCAGTGAACAAAAGGTGGTAGGTATTAGGTGGTCAGTAACAGAGCCTGGGGCTGTGAAAAGGACTTTGGCTTTTATTCTGAGAACGATGGGGAGCCACTGGCTGTTTAAACAGGAAGTGGCATGATCTCATTTACATTGTTAAGAGATTACTTTGGCTACTGTTAGGAGTCTCAGTTGTAGGCAGTTGAAGGTCTGGAAGGGAGGCCTGCAAGGTGGCTGTTGCAGAAGTCCAAAGCAGAGGATGGTGGAGGCTAGGGGGTGGGTGGGGGTGATGGAGGACATTTCCTTCTGGACACAGGATTTGTTGTCACAGCCGCTGAGGGAAAAATCAAGGGACAAAGGCTCCTCCAAGGGTTTGGGGTGGGAGAGTGGCCTGGCCCATGGCAGGGAGCAAGTTGTTTATAAGTCTGTCTCTTGACCTCAGTCTCAGGGCCCCCGGCCTTGAAGCTGGAGCCTGCGGAGCTGGTTCGGATTCAAGGGGAGGCTGCCCAGATCGTGTGCTCAGCCAGCAGCGTGAACCCCGCCTTTGACGTCTTCCTCCAACGTGGAGACACCAAGGTCAGTCCCTGGGGAGAAAGCAAGGTGAAGTCTGCCTGTCCTCCCAGTACACCAGGCCCAGCAGGGTGGCACCTCCAGCCCCACCCCAAACTGGCTCTCTGGGCTGAGGGCCCAGCCCAGGCTGAGAGGGGAACAGAGTTGCCCAAGATCCCACTGACAGTCAGTAGCTGATCCAGAACTAGAACTTAGGCTCCCGGTGATGAATCTTGGCAGGGGGAGGGGTACTCTAGCCTCTTAACCCATGAACTTTGGCCCAGCCAGTAAGCAAGGAGCCAGATGTCAGCTCACTTGTGACTAGGCAAAGGGTTCCTAGGCCACCTTTGAAGCCCAGGGAGATAAGGGCTATTCCAGATAGACTTTGGGAGACAGGGAGAGTATTCAGAGGAAGGAACAGCACTAGGCTGCTACTAATAACGACACCCCCCCAACCCCCATGCCTGCTATGTACCAGGCACAGTCCTAACCATTGCATACATTATCTCATTTGATCTTCAGCACAACCCTAGGACTAATATGAGTCCCATTTAACAGATAAGGAAACTGAGGCTCAAGGTTCAGTACCTTGCCCAAGGACAGGCACATAGTAATCCATAGAGGCTGAGGATTTGAACTCAAATCTTTCTAATCCCTGAACAACCTTGGTAAAACATCTCCATTCCTTTTGGTTGCAGCTGACAGTCTATGCAGCAACTGACTTCCATGATAAGCATTACCATAACGTCCTGACCCACAACCTACATCACGTAGGCTTCCAAGATGCTGGCAACTACTCCTGCGTGGCCACCAGTGCCCAGGGTGGCAGCTCCACCTCCATGGTCTTCCGGGTGGTAGGTGAGCATCAGGGTGGTGGGGAGGAGTTGGCAGGGATCTTGGGGTGGGGGTACATAAGGGGTTTGGGAAGGAGGGAGCTGGTAGCAGAGGAGAAGGACACCTCCATTAGAACACCCCTATTAGAATCTTTAGAGCTTGGCTAAAGAGCCACAATTCCTCTCCCAGAATCCCTCTCTCCCTCCTTGGAGTTCCTACAGTACATTGCTGCATTTTGGTCTAGCACCATTTTTTTCTGCTTTGGGATTGGTGCCCAGTAGCTCACTACTAGACTTCGTTCACTCATTCATTCATTCCTTCATGCCTGGCACTATCCTGGGTGCTGGCACTCATGTCACATGGACAAGTGGACATGATCACTCAAGGTGATTGTGGGGGAAGTGCAGGGTGTCGTGGGAACACCAAAGGGGTCCCCAACCCAGGCTTGGGACAGGAAGGATGAACTGGGGTTAACCAGGCAGAGGGATGGAAAAGGAAGGGGAACAGTGCTTCTGGCAGAGGAAACAGCATGTGCAAGGACCAAAACAAAGAGCACAGTGCGTTTGAGACACCATAAGAAGATGACAACAGCAGGGACGTGGAGTGGCATGAGGAGGAGCCCAGGGAGGCAGAGATGGAAGTAGAGGCCAGGTGGTAAAGGAGACTTAACTCAAATGGGAAGCTTGCGTCTTATCCTGTAGGCAGTGGGAGTCATTGAAGGTTCTAAAGAGGAGAGTAATGGGATCAGATTGTACCAAGAGGGCATTGCATGGCGGTCAGGAGCACACACTCCCGGGCATGTTCCAACCTGGCTCCACCAATGACTTGCGGGTTGCTTAACCTCTCTGTGCCTCAGTGTCCCCACCTGCAAAATGGGGATAATAATAACAGTAAGTGCCTCACAAGTTTGTTGTGATAATTAAATGTGTGTGTGTATTTATCAAAAGGCTGGAGAACAGTCAGGACAGTTGATACAGTGGTCCAGGCTGGAAATGGCAGAGGGTGCTGCTGGGTCATAGTAGGGATTATACAGGAGTCTGTTCTCCAGAACTATTTAGTAGAGACAATCAACAAGACTTGATGACTGTTGGGATGAAGGGGTGAAGAAAGAGGAGCTAAAGATGATCTCCAGGTCTCTGGCTAGGGTGATTGGGTGGGGGCAGTGCCAGTCACTGGGCTGAGAATCAGGAAGCAGAGCAGAAGCTTCTTAAGGGTAGGGACAGGCTCTGAGTCATTTCAGTCTGGCATGACAGAGAGGGATGGAGGGGAGGGGAAGCATGAGAATCACTGCCCTTAGAGTACATGCAACACACTAGACTTGCAATAGAATGTGAGCTGTGTTCTGGGCCCCATCCTGCGCTAGGGGTTTATAAAGGGGAGAAACAGCAAAAGCACATGGAGTTTTCCCCCAGCTATGGGTTCTAATCCTATCTATTTTCTAGGGCAGGCATACAGTAGTCACTCAATAAGTGTTTGCATTCATTCATACTTTTTTACCAGACACTGTTCTAGATGCTGAGGATACAACCACCAATGTATCAGATACAAAAATCTCTGCCCTCATGTAGATTATGTTCTGCTTGTGGGAAGACAAACAGTGAGCAAAATAAATAAGTAAATTATACAAGGTTTGCAGTTTAAAATAGAGTCATCATCAAGGAAGGCCTCACTGAGAAGTTGACATTTGCGCAAAGACTTGGAGGAAGTAAAGGAACAAACCATGCAGATATCTTGGGGGAAAGAGTATCAGGCAGAGGAAATAGCAAAAGTCTTAAGGCAGGATTGTGCTTGCTGTGTTCAAGGAACAAGTGGGCCACTGTGGCTGGAGTGGAGTGAGCGAGAGAAAGAGCAATACAAGATGAGATCAGAGAGCTAAAGGGAGCAGCGTGGCAGATCACGTAGGGCCTTATAAGCCAATGTAAGGACTTAGACTTTTCATCTTGGGGAAGATGGGGAGCCATTGCAGGGTTTTGAGCAGGGTGACATGACATGACTTGGGATGTAACAAGATTTAACAGGGCCCTCTGGTGCTGTGTTGAGGACTGGTTGTCGGGAGGCAAAAGTAGAAGCAGGCAGACGAGTTAGGAGGCTACTGCAACTGTCCAGGCTAGAGGTGATGGTGCCTCGACCAGGGTGGTAACGGAAGTGGTGGAAAGTGGTTAGAGTCTGGAGTTTGGATGGATGGATGGATGGATGGGTGGGTGGGTTGGTGGGGTGGGTAGGTGGATGGCTGGCTAAAAGAGAGAGAAAACAAAAACATTGCCCTAAAACCTCACAGACAAGACAGAGAGAGGATAGCTACCTGAAGGGAGAACTGAACCAGATGAGTGAAGTAGTGTGGGTATGGTGCCTAATGAGTGTGCAGTCTAGGTGGGCAACAGGAGTTCAAAGGAAGGAGATCCCTCTGTGGCCTGGAGTGGTCAATGGAGACTCACTGGAGTAGGGGTGAGTCTTGAAGGATGAAGAGGGTCTAAACAGAAGAGAGGAAGAGGATGGGGTTGCTAGCGGAGGAAATGGCTTAAGCAAAACCTCCAAGGTTGGAATGATCATGCTGTGTTCAGGGGATGGAAGGGGATCTAGATGAGTGGAGCACTGAGTGACTGACTGTGTGTGTCAGCATGTGTGTGTGTGTGTAGGAAGTGGGGAGATGGCTGGATGGACATAGTGAGCCCTGATTGAGGACAGCCTTGAATGTCAAGAAGATGGGGAGTCATGGAGGATGTCTTAGTTATCTAGTGCTGCTATAACAGAAACACCACAAGTGGATGGTTTTAACAAAGAGAGGTTTATTTCCTCACAGTTAAAGCAGGCTAAAAGTCCAAATTCAGGGCATCAGCTCCAGAGGAAGGCTTTTTCTCTCTGTCAGCCTTCTCTTTGGTGTTCCCCCGGGCTAGGAGCTTCTCTGCGCAGGGACCCCAGTCCAAAGGGCGCGCTCTGCTCCCTGCACTGCTTTCTTGATGGTATGAGGTCCCCCTGTTTCTCTGCTCACTTCTCTCTTTTATATCTCAAGAGATTGCCTCAGGATACAATCCAATCTTGTAGATCCACTCCCGCCTTACTAACACAACTGCCACCCATCTTCCCTCATTAACATCATAGGGGCAGGAAAATCACACAGTACCAGAAATCATGGCCCAGACAAACAGATACACACATTTTTGGGGGGACATAATTCAATCCGTGACAGAGGACTTCTGAGCAGACATGTGACAAGGTAGAAGAGTAAATTTTAGATTCATAGAATTGAGTAAGGAGAGGAGCTTGTAGAGATCATATAGTCCAGGGCTTTTTGCAAAGCCCTGGGGTTTTGAGGAGACCTCTCAGTGGCTTCCATGAGAAGAAAGAAGAGGCTGAGTGAGTGGGGATTCTTGCCACATCTCTGTTGCCTGAAATTCAACCAGAGAGTTTGATTTTAATTCATGCAAGATTTCATTGGAAGAAACTAGTCAGGACTCTTTCAGGTGCAGGTAACAGAAACCAACTCCAACTGGCCTAATCAAAAGAGGGACTTTATTGGTCATTGTTATGGATTGAATTGTGTCTCCCTAAAATGTGTGTCAACTTGGCTAAGCCATGATTGCTAGTATTGTGTTGTTGTCCATCATTTTGTGATCTGATGTGATTATCTTATGTGTTGTAAATCCTAACCTCTATGATGTTGACGAGGCAGTTATGTTAATGAGGCAGAACTCAATCTACAGAATTAGGTTGTATCTTGAGTCAATCTCTTCTGAGATATAAAAGAGAGAATTGAGCAGAGAGGAGAGGGACCTCATACCACCAAGAAAGAAGTGCCGGGAGTGCAGCGCATCCATTGGACCCATGGTCACTGCGCTGAGAAGCTCCTAGACCAGGAGAAGATTGATGACAAGGACCTTCCTCCAGAACCGACAGAGATAGAAAGCCTTCCCCTGGAGCTGGTGCCCTGAGTTTGGACTTCTAGCCTCCTAAACTGTGAGAGAATAAATTTCTGTTTGTTAAAGCCATCCACTTGTGGTATTTCTGTTATAGGAGCACTAGGTAACTAAAACAGCCATGTAGCTCAAACGTCTGTGGATACCAGCTTCAGGCACAGTTGGATATAGATGTTCTGACAATGTGAACAAGAATCTATTGCTTCTCTACTCCCAGCTCTAATTTTTTGCTTTTTGACCTACTCCTCAAGCAGGCTTTCCCCTTGATGGCAGCAAGACCCCTAGTAGGGCCAAGCTTGTCAATCCCAGTGGAGCGAGGGCTTCTCTTTTCCCAGAGTGCCAACAAAAATCTTACAATTGAGTTTCATTAGACTCTTGGACTCATGTGCCTTCCCTGAACAAATCCCTGGGTCCAGAGGGGACAGATTACCCTGACTGGCTGAACTCTTACCAGAAGAAGGGGGAATGGCTGAGGGCATGTAAAAAACAACAGATTTTTTTTACTGCTAAAAAGTTTTTCAAAAATTAAATTTCACAGATACATTCAATCTCTTCATTATACAGAGAGGAGACGGAGGCTTAAGGGGGAGAGGAATTTGCCCACATCAAAGGAGGATAGGAGTTCTCCCAGGGAGTCAGTGAGGAAACAGTTTTGAGCCTTAGGCTGCTGAGGTGGGTGGTGGGACAAGAAATATCAGAGAACAAGCTGTGTTGGGGGTAGGGACTGTGTGCCCGGCACATAGTAGGTATTCAGGTAGGGTCCAGCTGAACAAATAGATCAGTGGGTGGATGACCAAATGACCAAATGGGACATGTTCCCATAACACCAGATCTCTGTGTGTTCTGCCTTTCAGAGAGTGCCTACTTGAACTTGACCTCTGAGCAGAACCTCCTCCAGGAGGTGAGCTTGGGTGAGAAGTTCAACCTCAAAGTCAAGGTGGAGGCCTACCCGGCTCTGCAAGGCTTTAACTGGACCTACCTGGGACCCTTCTCTGACCAGCAGCACAGCCTCAATTTTGACATCATCGAGGACACATACAGGTATCACCTATCAACTCCCATCTGCACAGCCCCACAACCAGTTGGGGAATGCTTCAGCCAGTGTTCCGGACACTTGGGTCATGCCTTAACCTTGCTGTGTGACCTTGGGTAATTCCTTCCCTTTCTGGGTCTCACTTTCCCTGATTACGTATAACCTCGATGTCAGTCATCGTGTGTTGAAGATTTGGATCAAACTGGCTTACCCTCCTGTCCCACATCCTTGGGAAATCCAACTCCCTTCTCAGAATTCCACCATTTCTTGGGGGTGTGCATTCTCGTGGTCACTCAGAAACCCTCAATCTCATTTTTTCTCCTCTTCCGTGGCCAATCCAGATGTAGACAACAGGCCCCCACACCATGATTTCCACTCATATATACACTCTTAATAGTGACTGCACAGGATATCTGCCACATACACAGGTTTGGGGGGTACAGGGAGTTACCATTGCACAATCACAAATACTCAAATTCTTTAAAGGCCTGTGGTCACCCATTCTGAGGATTTTTCACTGGCTACTTTTCTCCAGGGGCTCAAAACTCCTCTCAGAAGGTGCAACCTGACTCCACATCCTCTCTCCTTTCTTCTCTCATCTCTCCACCCCAGAATCCTGTTTATTCCACATGCACAACATTTTATAAATTAATTTTTTCCTGTCGCCTTATGGACTATGTCCTCACGGACTTACCTCTACCACCCAAAGTGGCCTACCTTTTATTAGTGGTCATTTTCTAAACAAAAAATTTTCCTCCCGAAGGGCAACGCTGATAGCAGGTGTTAAAATAATCATTTCTTCACTCGGTTCGATTAGAATGAGAAGATGCAGCTCGATCAAGTTGCACACCACAACTTCCCCTCCCACACTCAAGACACACATCCCCAATCCATTCTCTTCCTAATCCATTTTTTTTAAATGAACATAACCTCAAGATTTTATTGTCTTTGTAATGAAACAGATGAAGCTTAGAACTGGATCACTCGGCTGTTGGTCTTCTTATCTCCTCCCAGTTCGAAATGCGTTTATCTCTTAACAGCCAGCATTCTCTTAGATCTGCAGTTGGTCTCAGTGCATTCAACCCTCAATACAATCTTTGTAGTTTCAGCCTTCTTCCAGAAAATCAACTTAGTCTCTGCCCACCTTATCCACTGTTTCCTGTAGTAACTCTGCTGTCCCTGGCATACAGAGAATGCTTGCCCTTCTTGTACTGTGTCACCTGTGGGGTCGGACTTCTTTCAGAAAGTCCTGCAAGTTTTAGGAACTTTCACCATGTTTGTGGGAGTGCTATCAGCACGAAAAGCCCTAATCCATCTTTGAACTCTTTCCCGTGGAGTCTAAATGCAGCCTCAGAGTCCTTCTCAACACAGCCCCTCGGGCAGTATTTCCATCCTAGTTGGGTCATGAGAGGAGACCTTTTTGCCATCCCTGGGTTAGATATTCCACAAACCTCTGGGGTGTTCTAGTACCTGAAGCCCAGACCTCATCGATTCCTGGACTCTCACTGGTCGATAATCAAAAGCAACAAGGCTGTTGCCTGGTCCTCATCTTCCTCCTCTCTCCCTTCTGATTCTTTCTGACCAGGGTTTCTATCTGCCTCTAGTCTACAGCAGAAGTTCTGAAGCTGCAGTCTGTGTCCCCGGTAGGAAACAGGTACATAGATAGGCTTCAGGGATCCACAGCTACAAAGACTGTAGAAAAGAAACATGGAGACCCCCTAGAACACAGTAGTCTAGGGCCATCAGCGCAGGGACTGACAAGCCTAGGCACCAAACAGCCCTTGTGAGCATCACTGAATTTTGGCTTCTATGAGATTGTGTTCATAATGGTGACTTTCAGTCATCAAAAAAAGTTAAATTCTTTTCAGTTTAAGGGATAAATGTTATCTACGTTGAATTATCTCAAAAATTGACATGCATAGAGGGGTGCTGTACCCGAAGATCTGGCTCAATGAGCCTGCCCTTTGACTGCCATGGATTTTATTCCAGTTCTGGCTACAGGTATTTTGCTGTAATTTGCTGTAATGTAGTTATTTAAAAAGGCCTCATTGAGATATATAGGTCCCTGGGTGACACAAACGGTTTGCTACTAACCAGAAGTTTGGTGGTTTGAATCCACCCAGCAGTGCCACAAAAGACAGGCCTGGTGATCTGCTTCTGTAAAGATTACAGCCAAGAAAACCTTGCAGAGTGCAGCTCTACTCTGTAACACATGGGGTCACCATGAGTCAGAATTGACTCAACGGCAACAGGGTTAGTTTTTGTTTGTTTGTTTTTAACTGAGATATAATTCACACACCATACAATTCACCCATTTAAATTAGAAGTCCATGGTTTTTAGTATATTCACACATATGTACAACCATCACCACAGTCAATTTGAGAACATTTTCATCATCTCAAAAAGAAACCCCATACTCATTAGCTATCCTTCTTCTAGCCCCGACTCCCCCGTCTCTCAGCCTAAACTACCGGTAATATACTTTGGTCTCCACAGATTTTCCTGTTCTGGACTTTCATGTAAATGGAATCATACATGTGGTCTTTTAGGAATGGCTTCTTTCACTTAGCATGATGTTTCCAAGGTCCATCCACATTGTACCACACATCAGTACTTCACTTTTTTTCATGTCTGAATAATATTCCATTGTGTGGACGTGCCACATTTTGTTTCTCCATTCATCTGTTAGTGAGCCTTTGACAATTATGAATAATGCTGCTATAAACATTCAGTTACAAGTTTCTGTGCAGACATATGCTTCATTTGCTATGATTTTTTAAAAACTTGTTTATTATCTAAAGAATACATATTGATGATGGACAAATTATAAAATAGATATCAAGGAAAGAATAAAATAAGAAAAACCTGTGATCTCAATCAGCCAAGAAAACCTTCTGTTAGTTTTTGCTCGCAGGCCTTTTTGGTAATAAAAAAATCCTGTTGCCGTCAAGTCGATTCCAACTCATAATGACACTATAGGACAGAGTAGAACTGCCCCACAGGGTTTCCAAGGCTGCAATCTTTACAGAAGCACACTGCCACATCTTTCTCCCATGGAGTGGCTGGTGGGTTTGAACCACTGACCTTTCTGTTAGCAGCTGAGTGCTTAACCACTGCACCAGCAGGGCTGCTTTTTTGGTAATAAAGGAAATCATTAAATTGAGTGCATGCAATACATATCCCTGTAATCCTCAGATGAGCTCTGGGAATTAGCTACTATCAGTATCACCCTCAGAAAAGGAAGCAGAGGATCAGAGAGGTTAAGTACTTGCCTGAGGTCACACAGCTAAGAAATGGCAGCACCAGCACTTGAACTCCAGGCTCTCTAGCCCCACAGCCTGGAACTCAGGGATGTACATCCTGCCCCTTGTCTCACTCACAGTCTCTCTCGGCAGGGTTGGTGTCTGAGGGATGACACCTGACTTGGGTGCTGACATTTACAGCAGGGATTGCTGCTGTCGTGAAGGTGTAGCTCAGTGATGGTGGTAAAGCAGGTACAATCAGTGGGTGCCTGTGAGATGCGCCAGTGTCAGCTCTTTACAGAAGTCACCTCTGCTAAACCTCAAGACAAAACCACTTTATAGACAAGAAAGCCAATTAAGGAAATAGGGTTAGTGGTTTCCCCATGCCTGAAGGCACCCAACTTAGGTGCCCTGGGTATGTTATCAACAATAAAACAAACTCCTCACAGCTGTTGTCTGAACACTGATGTCCTGGCAGGGGCCATGCCGGGGCTGAAGTTCACCCCAGATTGCCTGTTCCAATCCTGCAGGTACACCTCCACCCTCTCCCTGCCCCGCCTGAAGCCCTCTGAGGCTGGCCGCTACTCTTTCCTGGCCAGAAACGCGGGAGGCTGGAAAACTTTGACCTTTGAAATTATCCTTCGATGTGAGTGATGGGGTGGAGTTGGGGGCATGGATCCCCAGTGCTGCCTGGAGAGATGGGCTCGACCAGGGGAGGGGGTACTGGAGGGGCTAGGCCGAGCAGACTCAGTGGGGGATGGTGGGGTGAAGGGACTTGGGACCTCTGATCTGATCTCTTCCTCTTCTGTACCTCCTTTCCTCCTCAGACCCCCCAGAGGTAAGGGTCATGCAGACCCACATCAATGGCTCTGATGCCCTGGTCTGTGAAGCCACTGGGTACCCACGGCCCAACGTAACGTGGCTACAGTGCTGGGGCCACACTGATAGGTAAGTGGACTTGGCCCAACTTCCTCCTGGCCTGAGGGTCTGGGGCAGGGCTGAGCACCCCATTTGTGGGAGGGGCATGCCGGGAGTCCTGCCCTGGGTGCTGGACACCCCACAACTTTGAGCCACACTCTGCTCATCCCAGATGTGAGGGGGCCCAGGAGCTGGTCTTGGAGGGCACGCACCCTGAGGTTCTAAGCGAGGAGCCCTTCCATAAGGTGACTGTCCAGAGCGTGCTGGCCATTGGAAGCCTGGGACACAACATGACCTATGAGTGCAGGGCCCACAACTGGGCAGGGAATGCCACCCAGGCCTTCTGGCCCATCTCTGTCGGTGAGTCTACCCTCCCACTCCCCTCCAGGCTAGGATGGGCCCAGGAAAGAGCCCCCAGCCACCAGGGAGCCAGGGCCAGAGGTCCAACTGGAGCAGATTCCAGCAATACCGGGTTCCACCTCTCTGGGCCCAGCTCCAGGCCCCTCTTGCCTGCCAGGTCCCCTGAGGCAGTGAGATGGGGACAGCTAGAGCCCTGTGGGCTGCACTGTTGGGGAGAAGAGCAGAGGGGGCAAACACAGGTCCCGTGAGAAGGCAAGTGCAACTTAACCTGGCCACCTCGGCTCATATTCCTGCACTTTCATTAATTCTTTCAAAACGTGTACTTGGCATCCACTGTGCGCCAGGCACCTGCTCGAGGCAGGGGATCCTATGTCTCCCTGGAGCCTGGAGTCTGATCAGGGAGACGGGCAACAAGCAAGTAAAGGGGGCAACAAGCCCCACCCCACCCCCGCCCCGGGCCAGCCCTTGAGGATCCCCTCCACCTCCCCACACCGCTCCCGCCCTGAGCCCCAGTCTCATCCATTCAGGGCCACTGCTCACGAGGCTGCGTGGGCTGAGAGGCAGGCTGCATCTGCCCAGAGGAAGGGGTACCTTTTTCTATTTTGCCCAAAGGTTCCAGATGGGCTAGTTCTCTGGTTCTAAGAGGCTGCAGCTGCAGAGAACTGCAGCACTCTCAGGCCTTTAACAAATAGCTTTCAGCACCCACTGGGTGCCAGACCCCAGTGAGGCTCTCTGGGTCCAGGAAGGGCAGAAAGTGTCCCTGGCCTCAGCATGGCTCTGAGGTGGTCACTCATGTGCCCTAGCTGCTGGCCTTGGACCACCCGTGTCCAGGGCCGGACCCCGCACACAGCTGGCTGTGGCTGCTCTGAATCTCCCTCCTGCTGATTGTGTTAAAGTAATAAAGCCAGGCTTTTATTGATGCTTACACTGGGCCAGGCATTGTGCATTCTCTCAGTTAGCTCTCACAGCCCTAGGAGATAAATCTGATTTTCCTTCCAGTTTTGGACATGATAAGCCTGAGGCTTAGGGAGAAGTCACAGACTCAGTGTCATATACCTCCTGTATTAGTTTCCGAGTGTGGCAGTAACAGAAATACCACAAGCGAGTGGTTTGTTGTTTTTTTTTTTGGCTTTAATAAAGCGAAATTTATTCTCTTACAGTCTAGGAGGCTACAGGTCCAAATTCAGGGTGCCAGCTCCAGGAGAACATTTTCTCTCTCTCTGTTCTGGGGGAAGGTCCTTAGCATCAATCTTCCCCTGGTCTAGGAGCTTCTCCATGAAGGAACCCTGGGTCCAAAGGGACAAGCGGGTGGTTTTAAAGGACAGAAACGTATTTTATCACGGTTTAGGAGACTAGAAGCCCGAATTCAGGCTGCCGGCTCTAGTGGAAGGCTCTCTCTCTGTTGGCTCTGGGGGAAGATCTCTTTGAATTTCTGTAGACCCAGCCTTCCTTGATTCCTAGGCGATTTCCACATGGTATGTACCCTTCTCTGTTCGTGCTTGCTTCTCTGTGTCTAATCTGCTCCTTTTGTATCTCAAAAATCAGCAGGTTTAAAGCACACCATACACTGATATGGCCTAATTAACATAACAAAGAAAACTCTATTCCCAAATGGGAAAACATCCACAGGTATGGAAGTTAGGATTCCAACACGTATTTTGAGGGGCACAATTCAATCCATAACACTCCTAAGTGGCAGAGGTGAGATTTGACCTCAGACCCAAACCCTTGACCTGGGTGTTGTTGTTGTTATATGTCGATTCTGACTCATAGCAACACTACAGGACAGAATAGACCTGCCCCATAGGGTTTCCTAGGCTGTAACCATAATTCACCGGAGCAGATTGCCAGGTCTTTTCCCCCAAGGAGCAGCTGGAGGGTTCGAACTGCCCACCGTTCAGTTAGCAGCCAAGTACTTAACTGTTGCGCCACCAGGGCCCCTTATTGACCTGGGTAAGGGGATGGAAATTATGTCATTTAAACCACTTCTAGAGAACTAAGGCTATGATCCAGGGAAGAGGAGTCCCAGGGACCATGAACCCAGCTTTCAGACCCTGCGAAGAGCTGTGTGGTCCCAAAGGGCACACGGGAAGCTGCAGGGAAGACGCGGGGGAGGCTGATCTCAGTCCACCCTCTAGGAGGCCTTTCTGACCCAGCTTCCCAGAGTTGTAGGGTGAGAAGCCCCTCCCGCAGTCAACGGGGGGTATGTATGCAAGCAAAACAGCTGGATACTAGACCAAGCTGCTGCAGAGGGATTCCTTGTAGTGGTGGGGATGGGGCTGCATGACCTCAGGTGTACCCCTGCCAACCCGAAGAGACTGTGATTCTGGGCAGTGTTTGGAGTTGGGGATGAGCAGAGCTGGAAGGGCTGTCCTCCCTGCCCCTGTCTGGGGTGGGGGTGCTGCAGGAGAGGCTCCCTGAGGTTCCGGGTGCTTCCTGGTGACAGGACAACTTCATTCAGTCAGCGAGCATTCTTGAGCACCTACAGCATTCCAGGCAGTGTGCTGGCTTGATCTCAGTGTGGGGAGGGGGTGCAGAGGCCCCCCTGCCTGCTCACTGCTCTGTCCTGTCCCTTCCAGAAGCCACTGTACATCGCCTTAAGGAGCCCCTCTTCACACCGGTGCTGGTTGCCTGCATGTCGGTCATGGCCTTGCTGCTACTGCTGCTCGTGCTGCTTCTGTACAAGTACAAGCAGGTGAGCAGGTGGCCTCGGTGGGCAGGAGTGGGGGCAGCTTGGCACCCCATGAGCCAAATCCAGGACAGGACCAGCAGGCTGTGCAGATCCACAGACACTCATTCTGTCAGTCAGCCAGTCAGCCAATAGCTCTCTAGTGAGCGCCTATTGTATGCCAACATGATGCTAGGCTCCTGGTGAGGCAAAATGCAAGGACTTCTGAGGGGTTTACTGTCTGGTGCAGGAGACAGTCACTAATCAAAAACCATGCAAGTGAGGGCGTGGATTACAGAGAGAGAGAGATGTTATGAGATGAACGGGAGAATGGAAACATGGAGTTCTGTCCCAGGCTGGGGGCTCCCTGGCACCCAGCGCAGACCAGATGGGGCTAGGCACACACATAGGACATCCACAGGGCCAGGCTTGTGTCTCACCTCCAGTAGTGAGTAGTCTAGTGGAGGAGGTAGAATTATTTAGTGTTATTAATCAAAGCTGCCGTTTATTGCACATTGCACATTTAATGTGCAGCCTGCCACTTTGAGGGCTCAATAAGCGATAGCGTATTTAGGGGCATTTTTATAGAGTTTGGAGCCTGGATGGTGCAGTGGTTAAGAGCTATGACTGCTAACCAAAAGGTTGGCAGTTTGAATCCACCAGCCACTCTTTGGAAACCCTGTGGGTCAGTTCTACTCTGTCCTATAGGTTTGCGACAAGTCGGAATCGACTCAAGGGCAACAAGTTTGGTTTTTTATAGAGTTTATCATCTGCATCATCCCATTTAATGCCCTCAACACGCACATGACGCAATCAGTGTCACAAAACAAGCTGTGTGTAAATTGTTGAATGGGAAACTAATTTGCTCTATAAACTTTCACCTAAACAACAATGAAATGTTCAAACAAATAAACAAAAACAAGCATGTGATAGAGACAGTATTATTTACCCGTTTTACAGAGTAGGAAGCTGGGATCCCCAGAGGTTGAGACAGTTGTCCCAGTCTATGGCTGGTAAATAATAACCCTGAGGGACTGACTCCAAAGCCATATTTTTTTACCATTATGTGGAACAGCCTCTCTCTGAATCATCTCATTTTATCCTAGCAACCACCCAAAGGCTGGAACTATAATAGTATGCATTTTACCAACAAGGAGACTGAGGCTCAGCAAGGTTAAAGAACCTGCCAGAGGGAGTGAGGGGTGTTGTGGAAGCAGAGTCCCAGGCACCTCCCACCCAGCACCCAAGGTCTGGACCACGGGCAAAGTCCAGTGGGATCAGCTTCTAAGAAGGGCCAGGCTAGATGGCTATAGGAGATCAGAGGCAGTGGTGGGGCAAGGGAGACTGGATGGAGGAGGGGGCATGGTGAGATGGCCTTGAAAGATGGGAGGTATGCAAGTGAGATGTATGGAAAGAGTATTTCTGGGGAGGGGCTGTGTGTGCAAATGGGGTGGAGGGCAATATCCGGGAAAGCTCCAGAAATGTTAGTGCCTGGATGAGGAGGCAGAAGGGGCTGGGGCCAGGTTGGGAGTCTGAGGGGTGAAACCCCATCCTGTAAGTCTAGGGCCATCAATAGGCTTGAACAAGGGAGTGATATTATTTCAGGGTAAATAACCCACATTGTGGGCCCCCTTTGTTGCATTTTCTTCCCCACACTTGCCTTGGGGGTTTTATTGTGGGAATAAGATTTGGAGTGGGATTGGGGGCACATAATCCCAGGGGTCCATGGGGGCTTGGGCTGTCTCTGCTCGTGCCAGCACCCAGCAGGAGGAGACTGTTCCAAGCATAGCCCCCAAGAAAACAGCCCCATATCAGGACTTCTAGCTCTGACACTGTTTTGTCATGTGACCTTGTTGAGTCACTGCCCTCTCTGGGCCTCAGTTTCTCCACCTGTACAATGGGAATGGGTGGTCCTTAACAGCTCATCCATCCACCTGTGACATTTCAAGACCCTACTGATGGTCTAGTATATAAGAGCCTAGGGTTGGGAGATGAGTTTGAGTCCAAATTCTGCTTCTGCCAGTCTCAGGCTATGGAATCCTGGGAAAGTTTGCATCTCTTAAGACTCTGTTTCTCCATCTGTAAAATGGGATTTTAATGGCAGCCAACCCACCAGACGGTCATGAGGATTCAATGACATAACGTGTGTAGAGGATTTAGCCTGGTGCTGGGCATAGTGGAAGCCACATACCCTCATCCCAGAAGGGAAGTGGGCTGGGGAACCAAAGTTAGCTCATACATTTTGGGATTGAAGGGACGTCTGAGGTTGGGCATCTCCTTGACCACACACCCAAAGTTCTCGTCGACCTCCAATAACAAGACCTCGCTCCCTTGTTCCTTCTTTGAGCAGCTCTGACTGTTGGAAAGTTCTCCCTTATATGGAGCTAAAAACTGCCTCCAAGTCACCCACAGAGCAGAGGTTTCAGAGAAGGGCCGGGTCCCCCTCGAGCCCTTTCTGTCTTCGGCTGAGCAGCCCCCTTGGCCATGGTTTGAAGATGTCTTCCCTTCTCTCCATGGTACCATTTCTGGAACATTCATTCCCAGTCACCAGTTCATTTCCTACCTTGTAAATTCAACTGCTGCTAAGCCATCTAGAGGCCAGGGAAGGAGGGCATGCCATGGGACAAGACGTTAAAGGTTCTAGATGGCCATTCCCCTGCCTCAGGACCTGACATCCAATCCTCCTGCTTTGCCCCATGGGGTTCTGAGCCTTGGCCCTTCGCTGGGGGCTCAGCCTGGCCAGTCCTCACTGCCTGTCTGTGGGAAGGGTGTTTCTGCCTCAGGGCTGAGTCATCGCCTTTGTAGCCTCCAGGGAGACCACAAGGGGGGCCCAGGGGGAAGAGAAAAGGGCAGGAGTCAGCAGGCTGAGAAGAGGAGGGGCGCAGGGAGGGCAGGGGGATGGGGAGGAGGGAAGAGGATGGCAGGCCGCTTGAGAGGCTAGGATTCTGGGTCCAGAGCTGAGATCTGAGGGTCGGGGTGCATTGGAGATAGACAGGGGGGTCCCCCGAAGCCTCCAGTGGGAGTTGTTCATGTCTCCACCTTCCCATGACAGAGAACTCCCACCCACTCAGAATCAGCAGGCCAAGGTGGGGAGGGTCCTTGATGACTGCATCCCCACCTCAGTTCCCAGGGGGTGGGTGGGTGTGGGGATGGGCCCAGGCGTGTTATGAGGAGTACATGAGATGACGCACGTTGAGTGCCTAGTCAGTGCCCTGCTCACAGGAAGTGCTCATAGCACTGCTATCATTACGGTCACACTACATTATTAGGAAATCTGGCCTGGGGCGGCCCATCCAGACCTTTCTCTAATGGTTCTCTTGGGAAGGGGGTGCCCCTCTGTGTAGAAGCCCTGGGAGCCACACTTGAGATCAGCTTGAGGAGGTCCTTTCCAGTGATAGCCCAGGCCGGCCTGGGGGCTGAGCATCCAGCCCTGGTGGTGGACAAGCAGAGCAGGGGAAGAGGGATGGGGAGATCCGAGACAGGAGGGAGAAGGCTCAGTCTTCCTCCAGGTACAGCATCTAGAATCCCAAAATCTGAGATTCCAGCCAGACAACCTCTTGCTCCTTTGATCCCCCACTTCCCCCAACATACCCTGCCCTGCTGGAGGCAGGAGGGGGCTGACTCAGGCCCAGCTGCAGAGGGACAGAAGAAGGAGAAGTGGTGAGGAGAGAACACAGCCTCGGCCGCAGAGGCTGCTGGAGATGGAAGTGGCCAGGAGAGGTCAAAGACGCCCCTCCTCGCGCTGTCTGTGTCTCCCTGGTTGGAAGGGCACCCACATGCAGGGCTGGAATCCTTGGAGACTCTGAAGTTCTTTATGTCCTATTCCAGACTATTCTCCCAAGCCATGACATGGATGTTTTTAAGTTTACCTGCAGTCTTCCCTGCTAATCAGAACTTGGAAGTTCTCCCTTATGTCTAACTGTGGTCTTTCCTCCCAAACTACCATCTGGAAGTTCTTACTGATAGCTATCTGGAGTCTTTTCTCCTAACCTGGGTAAGACCTGCAGCCGTAGGCCACCTCGCCACCCTAACACCCATTCACACACGTTTAGCTGCCCTGGAGCTGTGGGTGCTCAGGAAGGAGCTCAGCTACAAGCACAAGCCAGCTGGTCCCCATCCCCAAGGCCTGACCGGAAAGCAAGTAGGTCTGCTGACCCAGGGCCTTAGTGTCCTCTACCACCCGATCCCAGCTTCCACTTTCTCCCTAAACTCAGTCTTCCATCAGCACTTCTCATGGGCACCGCTGGCAGGATGCCCCTGTACAGCTGCCACCCTCGGTGGGAAACAGAAAGGCAGCGCTCCTGTTTCCCAGATCCGGGCCCTGCCTCGCTGGCTACATGGAAAACCTGAGAAGGAACTCCAGTCTTTCCAAAGGTCCTGGTCCCCGAGATGCTCACTGCCTACTGGGCATGATCCCTCTCTACTTCTCTCTCTCTCTAGTTTAAAAATGTAAAGTCACACCTTGTTACTTCCCTGTCTGAACCCTCAAGGGCTTCTCACTGCAGTTAGAATGGAAACCGCACACATCACAGCCCACAAGCCCCTCGAGCCCCTCGAACTTCCTATCCCATCCTTCAAGCCACACTGGCCGCCCTCCTGTCCCTCAAACTGGCCGGGATCTTCTCAGCTCATGGCTTTCACATTTGCTGTTCAGGGTGCCTGGAAAATTCTCCCTCCTGAGTACCATGTGGCTGGCTCCTCTTCATTGTTCAAGTCTCACCTCAAAGGTCACCTCCTCAGAGGCCTTCCCTAACTTATCATAAATTGTACTTCACCCTCATCACTCTCTATCCTATTTAAAAAAAAAAAGAAATTCACTGTCCAGTTGATTGAATCCAACTCACGGCAACCCCATGTGTGTCAAGTAGAATTGTTCCACAGGGTTTTCAATGGCTGTAATCTTATGGACGGGGTTCCTGGGCAGTGCAAACGGCTTGTGTTTGACTCCTCACCTAAAGGTTGGCAGTTTGAACCCACTCAGCGGTACCATGGAAAAAGGCCTGGAGATCTGCTTCTGTTGAGATTACAATCCAAGAAAACCCTATGGAGCAGTTCTACTCTGTAATACGTGGGGTCACCAGGCAACAGATTTGGCCTTTGATTTAATCTTATGGAAACAGAATTCTAGGCCTTTCCTCCAGAGTACCACTGGGTAGACTCAAACAACTAACCTTTCAGTTAGTAGCTGAGGTACAAACCATTTGCGCTACCCAGGGACCTTCTGTTCCATTACTCTATTTTCTTCACAGCACTGTTTGAAAAATCCCTACATATATATTTACTTGAGGTTAATACCAGTCTCAGCTACTAGAATGCAAACTCCATGAGGGCAGGGACTCTGTCTTGTTAAACTTTGAATCAGCAATGCCTGACACAAATAGGTGCTCAGTAAAATACCTGGGTGGATGAAGGGGTGAGAGGAAGGATAGGTGAATGTTGGTATGGATGAATAGATCTCAAGTTCCACTCTCCCTCCTGGCTCAGGAATGACCAAACTCCTGTCAGGGCCCTCAGAGGTATCCCCCACAACTCCTTCGATACACAGGTAGGGAAACTGAGGCTCAGAGAAGAGAAGGTCACACAGTAAGGCAGAGTCAGAGCTCGGACTAGGCCTTCAGTGGAGTGTTCATGAGACAACCTTGTCCTTTTCACCACATGTCAGGCTGCCCCCAGCCTTCTCCAGCCCTCCTCTCAGGGGATGAGATCTAGGATCCTCTGGCCAGACCTGGCTGACATATGCCTTCTTCTCTTCCACCTCCCCCCGCACCCCCGACTCCGCCTGCAGAAGCCCAAGTACCAGGTGCGCTGGAAGATCATCGAGAGCTATGAGGGCAACACTTACACCTTCATCGACCCCACCCAGCTGCCCTACAATGAGAAGTGGGAGTTTCCCCGAAACAACTTGCAGTTTGGTGAGATGGGATCTCAGCACCATTTATGCCCTCCCTGTCACAGGGCCAGTGGGGGCAGGGTGCAGGGAGTCTGTGGGCCCTTAGAGAGAAGGCCCTTTGGTGCCCAGGGACCTAAGAAGCCTGTGTATGTGGTAGGTAAGACCCTCGGAGCTGGTGCCTTTGGGAAGGTGGTGGAGGCCACGGCCTTTGGTCTGGGCAAGGAAGATGCTGTCCTGAAGGTGGCTGTGAAGATGCTGAAGTGTAAGTCAGGGGAATAGGTTAGGGAGTATTGGGGAAGGGGTGGAAAGTGGGTATGACTTTTCATCATAAGAGGCATCACCCCCATTTTCTGCCTGTACAGAGGCTGGGGTTGGAGGTGAGGACACTTGGCTTCTCTCATGAGCTCCAGGCTCCCCTGACTTCTGGTTCTGAGGAGGTCTGGGTCAACCTTTGGGTGTGGAGGGGCTTCTGGCTGAGCCCCAAGGAGGCTAGGGTGCACACAGGCCACCTGGGGCCATGGCCTGGCCGCGGCTTGACATCCTGTCACCCCAAGAGCAGCTCAGTGACAAGCCCATCTCTCTCTCCTCTCTCTAACTCCCAACCGTGTGTCCATTCCTTCTCCTCTTTGGGCCTCTGGATTCCTCTGGGTCTCCCCTGCTTCCTCCCCTGAGTTTCTGCATTTGGGTCTCCTGTCTCTCACTGTGACTCTCTGTGTTCTTTCCTCTCCTTATCCGTGGGATCTGTGGTCTTACTGTCCAGCCACGGCTCACGCTGACGAGAAGGAGGCCCTCATGTCGGAACTGAAGATCATGAGTCACCTGGGCCAGCATGAGAACATAGTCAACCTTCTAGGAGCCTGTACACATGGAGGTGAGAGGCCCTGGCAGGGGAAAGAGATCCATGGCCTTGGGCCTCTCGGAGTGTATGAGGGCTCCAGGGCCACTTCGCTCCATCTTCTCTTTCCCATCTCCTCCAGCACCCTGCCTTAACATCCATAAATCCCTAGGCTAGACTCCCCAGTGAGTCAAAAGCTACTTTTGGGGATGCAGACAGTTCTGTGGAGCTCTAACCAGTGGTTCTCAGAAGTCAGTGGACATCAAAATCGCCTAGAGAGGGAGATAAAAGTGCAGATTCCGCAGCCCTGCCAGGAGTCTGATTTTGTGGGTCTGGAGTAAAGCCCCCAAATCTACCTTTTAAGTAGCCCCCACCCAAAGATGCTTGGACAAACACTCACCCCAGGGTCCATAGCGGTGTCCTAGGAGTTGTCAGGACTCTAAATCCATCCTCATCCTCTTCACCTATAACAGCTTTGCTTTTATTTGCCCTATGTTGCACCACCATAGATTCCCATTGAAAGGAATTCCTTGGCTAAAACCAATTTTTAAGTTCTGCCTTAGACATATGGGGTGACTGAGGCACAGAGAATGGAGAAACCTGCCCACAGAGGGTCAGGATTAGAGCTCAGGTCTCCTGAGTCCCACTCTGGGGTGCCTCATTCCCCCAGCCTCATGTTCCTGTTCACATGTCCGGAGGGAAGGAGGTGGGAACAACGGGTGAACCCACACCCCACCCCCACCCCACTCTCTTGGCTGCTCTAGGCCCTGTCCTGGTCATCACTGAATACTGTTGCTATGGCGACCTGCTCAACTTCCTGCGCCGAAAGGCTGAGGCCATGCTGGGACTCAGCCCGGACCCAGGCCAGGACCCTGATGGGGTCACTGGCTACAAGAACATCCATCTGGAGAAGAAATGTGTCCACAGGTAGTGCCCTAGCAGAGGGCAGCACTGGGAGGTGGAACACCTGGGTCTGCCCCCAAAGCTAGCTCAGGGTTGGGTGTGGGTATGGCCCTCACACTCCTATCTGTGCTATGGGGAGCAGCCATCCCAGGTTATATGGGCAACTCAGCATTTCTTACTATTTATTCCCATCATTCCACAAATATTTGAGCACCAGAAATATGCTGGGAGTTTGGAGGGCAAAGATGGGCAGCTCATGGCTTGGTGGTGGTTGTTGTGTGCTGTCAAGTCGATTCTAACTCATAGTGATCCTAGATGACAGAGTAGAACTGTTCCATAGGGTTTCCTAGGTTGTAATATTTACGGGAGCAGATCGCCAGGTCTTTTCTCCCATGGAGTGACTTGTGGGTTCAAACTGCCAACCTTTTGGTTAGCAGCCGAGCGCTTAACCATTGAACCATCACCTTACTATCTGTAAAAGATCAGATTTGCAAGTCGTGAGGCTAATCACCGCATGTCTCCCATGGCACGTGCTGTTTAGGGGCTGCAGGGCAACCATTCCACTGAGAAGCCAACGTCCCCTCCCTGCTACAAAGAAGTGGGGCAGAATCTGGGGCTTGTTGGGTGAGAGGGGACGAAACAGCGGGATTAGCTGTGTGACTGTGGCCAAGTCCCTGGCCCACCTGGGCCTCAGTTTCCCCAGGGAGCCATAAGGGGGTTGAATGAGATGGCCTCTCAGGGCCTTTCCGGCTTTGCTATTCCGTAATGCTGTGATTCCTGGAAACCACACAGAAGCAGATGGACGGAGCCACATGGGGAACCAGAGGAGGAAGTGGCGAGTTTTGTGCCATACATGAGTCAGGGCAGAAGCACAGCCTGAGCTAGAATTCTGCTCTCCCAACTCCTGGTCCAGGACTTACTCACCTGAACCACACTGTTCTCTGGAGGTCTCAGTCTTGGGGGCTTGTGGGGCCTCAGAGCCAGGCTGCTAAGGGCTGAGACCAGACCAGAATGGGCAGTATTCTGCACAAGGGCCCCTATCCTGCCACTGTCAGCTGCCAAGCCTGTGCAGGCAAAAGGGGAAGGAAGCTATTTCTCTCCATCCTTAAAAATGGGGACCCAACGGGCCTGCTTCCTCTTCTGAGTCTCTGACTCCCCCTCTGTGAGGGCGGATAACACTGGGCCTCTGCAGGCTAGAGCCTCAGGCCAGATGAAATCAAAACAAGAACCAGAAAAAGGAATCACTTCCATTGTGGAATCTGCAGGTGGGGAAATGACTCGAGGCAGGGTGCTTTCAAAGTCAAATGGCATGTCAAGCAATCCTGTCAATGGGATCCCAGGTTACATTAATAGAAGTATTGCTTCTAGAACAAGGGAGGGGATGGTTTTGCCATGATCAGACCATAAATAAAACACTGGGTTCTCTTTCTGGGGACATGAAGAAAGGAGCACATCTCTATCGCAGAGGGGGACAGGAGGGTAAGAGGTGTCCAGAAATGTCTGGTTGGAATATTAGGAGTAGTGGCTATTTAATCTAGACCAGTGCTTCTCAGACTGAAAGTGTGGGGGTGTAGGCATCACCCAGGGGCTGGTAGAAATGCAGGCTCTCAGGCCCAAGCAGCCCTGCTGAATCAGAATCTTCATCGTAATTCAGATGATTCATATGCATGTTGATGACAGTGAAAGAAGCATTCCTCTAGACCAGTGGGTCCAACCCAGGCTGCACACGGGAACCACCTGGAGAGACTTAAAAAAGGCCAATGACTGGGTTTTGCCCCTGGAGATTCTGAAGTCATTGGTCTGGTGTCCTGGGCATGTGGGTTGTTAAATGTTCCCCAGACGATTTTAATGTGAGGTCAGGGGTGAGAACCCTGGTCTAGAGAAGAGACAGCTCAAAGAAGGGGCCCTAGAGTATGTTCCAATCCCTGCAGGGCTGTGTCAGGGAAGAGGGAGCCAACTTCTTCTCTGTGGTCCTTGATGGTAGAGCCAGGACCAGAAGGAGGAACATCCCAGGGGCAGATTTGCCATAGGAACAATGAAGAGGTAACAGGTAGAGCTGCCAGAAGATACTGGTTGTAAGCTCCTATTGCTGGGGCTGGTCAAGCAGAGATCAATGATGACTTAGATAGAATGTGGCAGAGGGGATCCTTGTCAGGAAGTGATGTTGAAGTTGATCCCAAGGTCTCTTCCCTTCCCTGCTGCTGAGGGGCTGGGTGAGATCACAGCTTGAGCTGGGGCAGGGCAGCGGTGGGGACTGACCCAGCCTCTGGACCCTCTCTCCTATGTAGGGACAGCGGCTTCTCCAGCCAGGGTGTGGACACCTATGTGGAGATGAGGCCTGTCTCCACTTCATCTTCAAATGACTCCTTCTCTGAGCAAGGTAAGGAGGTGCCAGTGTGGGGGAGAGAGGGGGCGCTGGGGGCTGGGGCCAGGGAGGAGCAGGGGCATGGTGATGCGGCCCTGAAGCCTCTTCCCACCGCAGGCCTGGACAAGGAAGACAGGCGGCCACTGGAGCTCAGAGACCTGCTCCACTTCTCAAGCCAAGTGGCCCAGGGGATGGCCTTCCTCGCTTCCAAGAATGTGAGTCAGACCCGGTCCCTGCATGTGGCCACCCAGGCCCTGCTAGAGGGAGGCTGAACCCCTGTAAGGCTTGATGGGTGAGGATGAGGGGAGGAAAGGGGAGTGTGTGAGGGGGCAAGGGAAGAGCCAGAGTGCAAGGGAGCAAGTAGCAGCGGCCACAGGGCATCAGTGGGCTGCAGGAATGAGTGGGAGAAGGGGTGCCCAGGGTTCCTTCAGGAGGGGTGGCACCCCGACCCAAGCAGCTGCCTGTGTCCCCAGCATGCAGAAGGCTGGGAAGAATACCATTTCCATGAACAAGCTTTATCCATTCACTTTTACTCAAAAGCACATGGTCTCATGGGCTGTAAAGAAATCCTGAGTCTCTGCTCAGGCCCCAGAAGCAACGACCTCTCATGCTGTAAAATGGGGATGATAATGGAACCTCCCTCACAGAGTTGTTCTGAGGATACGAGATGACATATAAAATACACTCAATCCAGCAGTAGGTGCCCAGGGAGTAGGACTTTTACCATCACCCTAATAGCACAGACTTGGGAGTCCTGGGCTTGACTGCTGGCTCTGCCACTTGCTATGGGACTTGGAGAAACTATCTTCTCTGAGCCTCAATTTCTACGTCTATAAAAATGGGCATAATCACAGAATTGTTTGAGGATAAAACTGGGTTACAAGTACAAATGCTTAGGGAAGGGGCTGGCATAGAGTAAGGCCGTGTGGGTGGCAGCTCCTCACAGCACGAGGGGCTCATTGCTTCTAGAGCCTGAGCGGATGTCCTGGCTCTAAGCAAGCTCCTGCTGCTCATGGACAAAGGGCATGGCAGCTCAGGTGACGGTGGTTTCTAAACATTAAATTGTCTCAGATCCAGGCTCTGACAGAAGGGTGAAGTCCAGAGTAAAGAGCTCAAACTGATGCTCTCCTCTGAGGGGGACCCCAAGGCCTCTGAGGCCCTCCCTGCTCCTCCCGCACCTTGGGCTCAGGTAGGGCAAGAGCTCAGACTAACCCCGCGGTGCTTCCCCCCAGTGCATCCACCGGGATGTGGCAGCCCGAAACGTGCTGTTGACCAGTGGGCATGTGGCCAAGATTGGGGACTTTGGGCTGGCTAGGGACATCATGAATGACTCCAACTACATTGTCAAGGGCAACGTGAGTGCTGGGAGTGGGTGGGCTGGGCTGGGGAGGGGGCGGCGGGCTAGGACCCAAGGTAACAGGGAACTGCCGTGCCAGGCCCGCCTGCCTGTGAAATGGATGGCTCCAGAGAGCATCTTCGACTGTGTATACACGGTTCAGAGTGACGTCTGGTCTTATGGCATCCTCCTCTGGGAGATCTTCTCACTTGGTAAGCCACTGGGCCCAACCTCCGTGCCCTGTACCTTGTGGGGGAGGACACTAGTCAGGGTTGCTTGGTGCCCAGGACAGAGCAAGTGCTGGTGGGACCGAAGGGGTGGGCAAAGGCTGAGCTAAAACCAAGAGCCGCAGCTCCCACGTGAGCCAGGAAGACCTGCCACCCAACACACGTCACTCGTTTCCTCTGGGCTGTTCCCGTATTTGTGACTCTGCTTGTGCAGTTTCTGCTAACTAGAAAGCCGCTTCCCCTCTCGTCTGAGATTTATTTTTGTTAGGTGCAGTCAAGTCAATTTTCGACTCTTCGTGACCCTATGGGTTACAGAGTAGAACTCTCCCATAGCTGTAATCTTTACGGGAGCAGATCGCCAGGTCTTTCTTTCATGGAATGGCTGGGGGGGTTTGAACCGCCAGCCTTTTGGTTAACAGCCAAGTGCTTAACCACTGCACCACCAGGGCTCCTTAGCCTTAAAAATGCAGATGGAATTATAATTAATGTCACTGAGTTGTACGTGTGAGAAGAATGTTGAAATGGCAAACGTTTTGTTACGTATGTATTTACCACAATAAATAAACATACCTCCCAAGGGGACTTGACTACATCCATAGAGCTTATTAAAAAAAAAAAAAAAGATGCAGCTTGAGTTACCCTGCTAGCTCCCACTTCCTGAGGACTAGCCCAGGGACTCACACTCTTTAATTCCCTAACCACCTCTGGTGGTGCAGGTATTCTTGTTGGCCACATTTCAGTGACACACAACTCAAGTTTTGGTCTGACTCCAAGGCCTGTGCTGGAGCTTTGTACTGCGTGAGAAGGCCTGGGTGAAGGCTCCTCACTTCCTACAAGCTTAAGCCCTTTGCACAGCGTCTGGCTGTTCTAGCACCACCACCGTTCAGGTGGTACCCCTGGCACCTCAGCTTCACTGACACGTGTACGTGGAGGAAGGTGAAGTCTTAAGCTGGCCTCTCATGTGATCTTGGCCTTTGCAGGTTTGAACCCCTACCCTGGCATCCTGGTGAACAGCAAGTTCTACAAACTGGTGAAGGATGGTTACCAAATGGCCCAGCCTGCGTTTGCCCCAAAGAATATGTGAGTGAAGGGTCTCGGGGAGGGAGGAAGACAGCCTGGATTTTGAATTTCCTTGGAAGGGGATAGAAGAAAGTGTGGCCCTGGTCTGTCCCTCCAAAAGGTTCTGGGGTCAGGCTTCATCTCCCCCGCAATGGACTCTTAAAACAAGCCAGGTTCTCCACTAGTTTCCTAGGTTGCCTATGGGGCGGGGGAGTGTTCTACAGAACAGAGTTTTAACTGAGAAGTGAAAATGGGGCTGGTCCGATGACATTTAACTCAGACGCTGTTATTACAGTGACCCAGAGGAAGGCTTTTTTCTTCTGTCCTGGTGATCTGTGATTGCCAGCCTTTCAGAGCCCACTAGCTGGCCAGGCACTGCAGTCTGACAGGTGACTCAGCACAGCTGACCCACCAGGAACGCCTCACTCACTCCCAGCCCCAAGCCGACCAGCCTCTGCACGGGCCAACTGGCCACTAGTTCACCCACTGCAGCTGTGTGCTCGGTAACGGCCACTCCTGCTTCCACCCAGCCACTCTGCTGGGGTAGATCCACCCACCCGGCTAACCAGCGCACCAGCCTCTCACGCTCTCCAGCCAATCCCTCAAACCTACCTGCAGACTTCAAGATTGTCCCCTTTTAGCACATAAGCTTGGGCAAGATACCATCTCAGAGCTTTCTTCCCTCATCTGTCAAAACTGGGGTGATGAAAAGTACCTTTCTCCAAGGTTACTGTGATTAAATGAGAATGCACACGGAGGACTTACCACAGGTCTTGTGCTAGGCTCACTTCTGACCTGGTTTGGAGAACTCTGCTGAGTAGGACTCTGTTGGGGGCAGGGGAAAAAAATCCCCCGACCCTGGGGAGCCTCTCACAGGCACCCTGTCCTGTCTCCAGATACAGCATCATGCAGGCCTGCTGGGACCTGGAGCCCACCCGCAGACCCACTTTCAAGCAGATCTGCTTCCTCCTTCGGGAGCAGGCCAAAGTGGACAGGAAAGAGCAGGTGAGTAGGGCCAGGCTCAGGGCAGGGGTTGCTAAAGCAGGCCAGGTTGGGCCCGATGAATAAGGGCTGACCATTTCCTGGCCTCCCCTGCCCTCAGGACTACGCCAACCTGACCAGCAGCAGCAGCAGCGGCAGCAGCAGTGGTGGCAGCGGCAGCAGCGAGCCAGAGGAAAGCTCAAGTGAGCACCTGGCCTGCTGTGAGCAAGGGGATAGTTCCCAGTCAATGCTGCAGCCCAACAACTACCAGTTCTGCTGAGGTGATGACAAGGAAGTACTGCCTCTCCCCTCCTCTAAGCTTCGACTCCTCCATGCGTGGGCAACATGGGGAGAACATACAAACTCTGCCCTTGGTCATGTCACTCAACAGCCTGCCCAGCTCTGAAACTCTGCAACGTGAACAACTCATGGGAGGTCGGAGGACCCCACTTCTGAAGCCTGGGCCATCACTGCCAGCCAGCGGCTGGGGGCTGAGCCCCCATCCCCTCCCACACTGTTCTCAGTGCTGCCAGCCTCATGTTTGCTATGCCAACTGGTAGAACCCCCAGCTCACTCTTAACCTTGTACCCACTTCCAGGAACCCCTTTCCCTGGTTCCCTCATGTCTCAATGGTTTTGTCCCTAACCAGTCCTCAGGAGCTGCCCTAGTACTGAGAAAACGAGGCCCCTCAGGACTGCACAGACTGGCAAAGTAGGAGCCCCCTCGCCTGACCGGATAGAGCAGCAGGAGGGGGCTGGTGCTCAGAGGCTGCATTCAGGTCAGGCCCTCGGAACAAGCGGCTCCTTTGGAAGAATCTAACAGTACCTCCTGGTCTCTGCCCTATAAAAGCCTTCACCCCCACCTCTACCCTGCCTGGATCTGGTACTGCTGTAATGAGCCACGTGGCAGCTAAAAGTTAGGGGTGTTCTGCCCACTACCCCATCATGCTGGGCGGGAGAGCATAGGACCTTGGCGTGTGGCTGGCCACACTAAGCAAGAAGCGCGTGCTCCCCCAAGTTGACTCATCATAACTAATGGTCACGCTGCGGGACATCTCCGTCGACATTAAACTAACAGCATTAACAAAGCTGGCTCTCTGGTTCTTTGTGCCACACCAGCCAACCCCCTAAGACCTCCTTCCTTCATGTGTAGTGACGAGCTCAGCACCTCTGGAGCTCAACTGCACTCTGCCCCACATGATGACCATGGAAATGACTCTGGCTTCACCCAAACCAGATAATTTAATAAACTTTATTCTTGTCGGGGAAGAGGGAGCGGAAAAAGCCACCTACTCCGCTCCTTTTAATAAATTAAATAACACACGGCCAGTTCCCGTGCCCTAAGCAAACCCTGGGCACTTGAGCCAGTCCCGCTGTTTCCTTGTGGCCCAGTCTGCTTCCCCTTCATAGAAGGGAGTTTTTCCTACTGCTGCCAGGTTGTGTCGTGACTAAGGGCCACATCCCCTCTGTTGTGAGGGTTCCATGGCCCAAGAGGATGCAGGGTGCAGCAGTGGCAGCCAGGGAAAGGAGTGAGGGGATCCTCTTCCCCAAAGCTCAGGGCAGAGAACAGTTCTGGAAAAGCTGTGGCTGTCTCTCCCTTCAGCTTCTCCCAGATTTGGGTGCAGGTTAAGAGCAGACTGTTGAGAAATGCATCCCTCCTCTGGGGAGAATCAAGGGCCCAAAGGAGCCCCTATAGCTAATGAGGCCCTCAAGGCCCCAAATCAAAGGCAACAGGCTAAGGAACGAATGTGGCCACAGGGGCTGGAAACAGGGGCTCCTCAGTGGAGGGAAGAGATGCCTCAGCAGCCTCCCCATCTAGTTCTCCCAGGACCTCCACCCCATGACCCACAGCAGGCCCCAGGGAAGCCACTAGCTGCCAGCCTTTCCCTCAGCCTCCCTTCCCTTCTGTTGAACAGACTATGCCCCCTAAGTGCTCTCTCAGGGCCAGTGAAAGGTTTCCTGGTGCTTCTCCTGACCCCCTAGGGGTGGTGGGATTCAGGACCAAGGACCCTGGACCCCACTTTGCTCAGGAAATGGAAGCTCTTTGGTCAGTCCCAGCAGTCAGAGGCCCTCCCCACAGGTGAACACTTCCACCGGTTTCCTGGATACATTTACCTCAGGCAAGGCCCTTACTATGGCTTGAGATAGCTGGTGCAATCCCTGTACAACAGCCTGGCTTATTCTGCCGCTGCGGCTACCTCCTCTTCCTCACCCTCCTCCTCTGTCTCTGTCTTGATCTGAGCCACCCCAAGGCGGTAGAGGGTGTCCCGGATGACCACCTCGCCAGGCTGGCAGCTCTGCACAATGTCATGGATCTGCCGGTTGACAATCTCGCGGCTGGTGAGGAAGTCCATGAGGCGGTTGTAGAGGTAATAGTGCGTGGCACTGTCAAAGGCAATGGGCCGCTGGCGGACACTGTTTGGTCTGCTGTCTGCGATGGAGGCCAGGATGGTTGCGTAGGGTGCCAGCTCAGGGCACAGGGTTAGGGAGTGGTGCCCAGCACTGGGGTTGCCAGGACTGGGCTGTGTGCCTGCATGGACAATGCGCCGTGTGGCCGTCTTGGTGACCGGGTGCTGGACAGAATGCTCAGTCTCCGTCATGTCCACAGTATAATGCTGGTCCAAGAGCTCTGGGCAGGACACACTCTAGAAGAGATATAAGAAGCCACCTGCTAATGACTAAGGCAGAACCTGTGTGGTGGATGAGAGCAAAAGCTGTGTGGTCAGACAGCCCTGGTTCAAAACCTAGCTTCACCACTTACTGTGTCTCCTGGGGCAAGTCCCCTCTCTCCCCCGCCTCTCTGTGCCTCCATTTCCTTGTGTGACAAAAGGGACAGTAACAGTGACGGCATACACTCAGAGCTGATGTTGGATTACCTGAACTGCTGTGGTTATTGCGACTTGTCGATTCAGGCTGCGGGCTACAGTGGAAGTGGGGAGGGACTGGTTCTGACTGAGGCTAAGACACCTTTCTGGAGTCCCCAGGACAAGCTCACAGAGCCACTGAGCCCAGGGAGTAAGAAAAAGGTACATGATGACAATGCTATCTCCTCCAAGGCAAAGCCAGAGAGGCCTTACCCTCCCATAATGCACCCTGACAGGTACTCACTCATTTCTTGAGTACCTGCCTCTCAGTAACAGTCCTAATGTCTCTTTCAGCAAAGGGCACCGCTGGCCTTGGAGGGCCAGAGCCTCTCTGTTAAGAACTGCTGGTACAATGTACCAAGGCTCATGACAGGGGCTCTGCCACTAACTTGCTGTGTGACCCTGGACAAGTCCATTCCCCTGTCTGGGCCTTAGTTTCCCCTTTGAATAAAAGGAGAAGGTTGGGTAAGATAAGTGTTTTCTAAACCCATGTGTCTCTAGATCACAAAAGATATGCCATGCAGTATATTCATGGTCACATCGATTTAAGATGGGTTGAGTTCAACAGTGCACTCCAGGGCTGGCTGGGGCCTTTAATATGTCAATGGGCACATGACTCTCCAAAACAGCAATTTTCTAGGCTTATCTAGAAGGCAACCCTTTTTACCCTAAGGCACCTGTGCTGGGGATAGCCTGACTTTTCTAAGCAACATGCTGTGGCCTGACTCATGGGGGTTGGCCAGTAACTATTTGTGGAATAAATGCTGGTTCCAAAGCAATAAGGCAAAATATGGTGCAGAAAAAGGATGTTGGGGATGCCTTCCTGAAGAACCAAAGGGTGAAACATGGTCAGCCTGAGAGATTTATTCCAGTTCCTCAGGAGGTACTCACCAGAGGTGGCTCCATGGGGCTGGAGAAACAGCCCTGGTTCCTCCCCCACATCTGGCTGGTCAGCTCTGGGTAGCAGAGGTCAGCACACAGGGCCACTGGTGTGGCCATGTCTACCACGTAGACAGGTGGCCAATGGCGGGAAGAGGCAAGCAGATCTACATGGTCGCGGGCACTCTCGCCCCGCACAAGGTACTTAGAGCCACAGATTACCTGGGGTGGAAGGGGAGGACACAGCACAGGGTTAAGTGGCAGATCTGAAGACCGTCCTCACTCCCTTCTTCCCAGCAAGAGCAGCAAACAGGTGTCATGACTGAAGCCATGACCACCCTGCCGGAGCCATGGCATTATGCTCCCCTCCTACTCATGTCCCTAAATGAAGTAAATGAAGCCACCTTGCCCTCCTATGAGAGGAGCTGGAAGCACCCTGTCTGCAACTGAGGCAGAGAAGCACCTCAGAGGGCATCTGCTCCAAACACCCCCCAACACATCATCTACCAAAGCATCGCCTAGTCCATGACTCCCTATCCTGGCTGCACAGCACCCTCACTAAGAGCTGGTTACAAATGTAGATTCCGGGCACCAACTCAAACCTAAGGAATTATCAGGGCCTGTGGGGTGGAATCTTAAGCATTTGGGTTTTTAGCAAGCTCCCCACCAGACCCTGAGGTGCTGCCAGATGCGAGCCCCTGACGGAGTCTACTAAACAACCCCACTGACAGGGCGCCCAGCCACCATACCACAGCCGGGCAGCTCTGCGTACACTGGAGAACTCTACCTGACTCTATCTCCCTACCTTCACACGTCCTCATCGCCCCCCACAGCCCTGAGCTCTAAGCTCTCACACTCCTATGAATCTTCAACTGCTCCTCATAAGATAGTCCCCAGTCATATGCACACATCGTCTGAGCAGTATCAAGCTCTGAGGCAGTATCAAGCACCTCCCTCAGACACAGGATTTTGTTAAAGGAGTTGGTCACCTGATTCCCTTTTAAGCAGCCAGGTTACCCTGCTGGCCCACGCACCTCAGTGCACTGAAGGCTCTGTTAGGCCAACCTCTCCCCACTCAGTGCTTGCTCAGTGGACTTTCTGCCCCCAGTATCTTCCTGGGCCTACACCATCATATAGCACAACTTGTCCCCGAGCTGATCTGGTGGTTACCCACTGTTACGGGTTGAACTGTGTCCCCCCAAAATATGTTTTAAATCCTAACCTCTATGCCTGTGGTTATAATCTCATCTGGGAATGGACTTTGTTATGTTAATGAGGCAGGATTAGTGCAGGGTGTATCTTGAGCCAATGTCTTTTGAGATATAAAAGAGATTAAACAAGCCAGCAGAGAGAGATGGGGTAAGATAGATAGATGCCAAGACACATGGAGATCTCCAAGGAATTGGGAAGCAGAAGCTGAAGGGACAGGGACCTTCCTACAGAGCTGACATAGAGAGAAAGCCTTCTTCTAGAGCTAGCTCTCTGAGTTTGGACTTTTAGCCTCCCAGACTGTGAGAATAAATTTCTGTTTGTTATAGGCATCCATTTGTGATATTTCTGTTATAGCAGCACCAGATGACTAAGACACTGGCCCACACCCTTCTACAGGTAGGCAGAGTGAGCTTCCGAAAGCCAAAACCAGACCATGTCACCATTCCCATTCAAAACTGTCCAACAGCTCCCTTATTACTCTCAGAATAAAATCTAAACTGCTGCTCGGGCCTATAAAGCACAGCATGATCTGGCCTCTGCTGACTCCTCCCACCTCCCTCCTCTTGGCTCACTATGCCTTCCCACCTTAGTGATTTCTCCTTCCTTTGCCTGGAACATTCCTTCCCTGGCTCATCACTAGGGCCCCTATCCATCCTTCAGGTCTGATTTCTCTGGCTGACCCCTAGAGAACAGGTGCTTCCCTGTTACTTTCTATTTCAGGCCCTTGTCTATTTCTTCAGAGCTACTGCCACAAGCTGTGGTTACTTTATTCCCCCACTAAAATAGGAGCTCAATGACACTGGTGGTTTAGTGGTAGAGTTCCCGCCTTCCATGCGGGGGACGTGAGTTTGATTCCCAGCCAGTGCACCTCATGCGCAGTCGGTGAAGGCTTGCATGCTGTTACGATGCTAAACAGGTGTCAGTGAAGCTTCCAGACTAAGATGGACTAGGAAGAAAGGCCCAGAGATCTACTTCTGAAAATCAGCCAATAAAAATCCTATGGAAAACAACAATCCAATCCGCAACCCATCGTGGGGATGGCACAGGACCAGGCAGCATTTTGTTCTGTTGTTCATGGGGTTGCCATGAGCCGAGGGCCAACTCGATGACAGCTAACAACGTGAGCTCACCCCTATATCCTCAGCAGCTGGTGCAGTGCCCAGCTCATGGTCAGGAGATTAATACTCCTGATGAATGACACAGGTTGCCTCCCTAGCCCACAGGTAGGCACCAGGCCCATGGGCAGCTACTCCACAGGCTGCCCAGTGACCTAAGCCTGGCCATTAAAGGATAAGCTGGATCGATCAGATTCTCTTTATGGGCAGTCCGACCTGGGACATCCTAAGAAACTAGACCAGTAAGCAGCAGAAGATGCTAGAGCCTGAGCTCAGCTACGAGGAGTCAAATAACAAGCCAAGTGATGAGAGGAAAACAGAAGCTGACACGGTCTCTGGAGTAGCCTTGGTTCGCGGCATCCCTCAAACTCTCAGGTATTTTTAGAAATAAACAAGACAAAACAAACAAAACAAAGCCTTTTCTCTTCTTGAGGCAATCTCGTGTGTCTATACCAATAGCTCTCACCCAGGGTGAGTTTGTTCCCCCAAGAACACTTAGAAATGTCTGGAGACATTTTTGGTTGTCACAACTGGGAGGAAGGGGCTGTGCTACTGGCTATCTAACGCACTAGAAGCCAGGGATGCTGATAGATATCCTGCAATGCACAGAACAGACCCCGCAAAGAACTACCTGGTCCAAAATGTCAACAGTGCTACTCTCTGGTCCAAAATGTCAACAGTGCTGATGTTGAGAAACCGTGGTCTACTCCTTGCAATCAGACCCAAATCCCATCTCATTCCATGTCATCCCATCCCTCCCCTACTGCCATAGGTTACAATCAGTTTGCCTTCCCTATGAATGAAAAGCAGGAAAAGCTGCTCACAGTCATCTCTGTCCTCAGGGAAACAAGTAAACCTGACATGAACAAGTTCACCCTAAGCTCTCCTTTGCTACCCTCTTACCTGATGGGGGCACACTTTGTAGATTTTACCCCCTGTGAGATGAGGTGGGGGCTGTCTAGCTCTGGCTCCATTCTGCACAGATTCGTAGAGGGCCAACAAGGAGAAGCAGAGCTGGTCCTGGGGTAAAAGGTCAGATAAAAACCAGGGGGTGAATGCTAAGGGACCAGGCCAGTGCTCAGATCAACTGCTCACTTCAACACCCAAAGCAAAAGAATAAACTATTCAGGGCCAGAGTCAGTTTTGCAGCCTCCTCAGCTTAGCCTCCTCTAGGTACAGATGGGGACCCTTAGGCCTGAGTCCTTCCTACTTAGCTGTTAGCTGCAAAGAGGAGCTAACATTTTAATTTGGACTTGAAGGAAGCAGAAAATCCTCAACAGCCCAGAGGCATGAAGTAAACAATGTAAGAATAAAGCACACACACACACTCTCTATGTATGTAATAGCATCCATTTTCTAAGACTTAAAAAAAAAAAAAAAAAAAAAAAAAAAACCCACTGGCATCAAGTCAATTCCAACTCATAGTGACCCTACAGGACAGAGTAGAACTGCCCCACAGAGTTTCCAAGGAACAGCTGGTGGATTCGAACTGCCGACCTTTTAGTTAGCAGCTGTAGGTCTTAACCACTGCACCACCAGGGCTCCAGTTCTAAGAGGTCGGATAGGTGATAACCAGACAGGTATAAAGTGCATTTCTCACAACACCCTCGTGAGGTCAGTATTTAACAACAACATTACTTCACAAATGAAAATAAGGCTCAGAAGGGTAAAGAGCTTACCTAAGGTCACACACAGTAAGCAGGAGAGGGAGGCTTCCTGACCCCCAAGTCTAGGTCCATTACCTTGAACAGGAGGAACGGGAGGGAAAGGCCTCACATGCTGCCATGATCTGGCTACTCTCTCCGAGGCCTCCTTGACTGCCAGCACCCTCTGTCCAACACAAGGGACCAGGTGACCCAATTCCTGCCCAGAAAAGTGGACCAGCCAGCCTGCTCCTAAAGTCCCTATCTCTGCTGCTGTCCCTGACACTCACCTTGGAGTCTTCTGCCCCAAAGGGGATGCCACAATGGCCCAGCAGTTGCCGCAGCTCCTCCTCACTGTAGGAACCAATCTGCTCGAGCTTGCAGGTACCCTCCTGGAGCAGCCTCACCAAGGCACTACCATTGCCTGCAAGAGATGACAGTGCTGAGGGGAGGGTGCTACTGCCAGCCAACAGAGGTCACGGGTAGCCCCTTATGCGCAAGGATGAACAGAACCAAGGGCTTGGCCTATGCAACAGCAAGGAGTGGAAGCAAGCTCTGCACTGAGCACTTCTTTGGGTGCTAGGAGAGGTGGAACTCATGGCAGGTCTATGACTTCCACAGGTATCTGTGATTTCTCAGAAATGGCTTTGTGCTCTGGACATCTACAAGTGAGATATCCAGCAGATGGCCCTTGCAAAGGACCCGAGTATGGGTCAGCTTTTAACCCAAAATCTCCTGAGGTTTCTCAGAAGCAAGTTAAGCCCACAGCTGCAGCACCAAGAGCAGCAGCTCACGTTTTAGAAATACTCTGTACAGGCTGTGTACCTGAGCCCAGATAATCAACAAGCAAACAATTCATTCCTGGGCCTTGAAGCAGCAAATATGAGGTGAGGTTTCAGTACCTAATGTTGGAAAACTCTGTTTGAGAACCACTATTTTTTAAATTGTGGATCCCAACACATTAAGTACTCATGAAATCAATTTAGCAGGTCATAGCCAGCATTTTTAAAATTAAATAGAAAATAGAGTGTGCTGCACTTGGAAAAAACAAGTACTGTTTCGTGAACATTTTGTTTGAGTTATAAGCATACATACGTACATACATATGTGTATCATTCCCAGTCATGACACAAAACCTGTTTCTTACCGCGTTACAGTTTAAAAAAAGGCAGAAAGTCATCACCATAACTATGTTACTAGCTCACTTAGTCTTCACAACAACCTTGGAGATCAGTAACATTATTTACAATGCTCTCTTTGTAAATAAAACAACAGAGGCTCAGGGCAATGAAGGGACCTGCCAGAGGTCACACAACTACTGAGTGGCATGGCTGGGAATTAAACCCAAGTTGTCAGAAACCTATGCTCTTAAGAGCTAGTCCAGGGTTGCTCAACACATAATCCACAGACCACCTGCAAAGCCACCTGAAAGACCTGCTTAAAAGGTAGATTCCTTGCCCATCCTCCCTCCTTTCAGGTACTCAATGGCAATCTGTGGGCTTGGGGCCTCCCCGTCAGCATTTCTCTCCAGATTTCCACCACTCAGTGTAGACCCTCTCAGAATGCTGACAGTGAGCTGTGTGTGCCCTGTCCCACATTAGATGGCTGGCAGGTCTTGGACACTTTGCACTATGACTTTAACCTCTAGGAGATTTTGCCACAGATTATCATTATCCTTCCATAATTCTGCGTCATTTGTGCTGTCTTGCTATGGACAACATCCCAGATTCTTGACTGGGCCCTTCCCTCACCCCAGTCAGCCACCAGGTGGCCTTACCAGGTGCTGGCTGCACATCCAGGTTTTTGTCTTTCTCAGTGTTGACGACCACAGCTCCTCTCATGAGTGGTGGGAAGAAGGGGGCAATAACAGAGGCATCAAACTTGGTGATAGGGATGCTGGCAGGGAACGCCACCTGCTCAATTACCTCTGTCTCCATCGTGGCCCAAAAGTCCTCCATGTTTACCTCACTAGAGCCCAAGAACTCAGGCCAGGTGAACTAAAAGGTCAGGATAAAAAAGGTCAAACTGTGGTAGCCACAGAACATTAATAGCAGAATAATCTTCACCTCTTCTTTATACACATGGGGAAACCAAGGCTCTACTTCTGAAGAGGAGGAGTCTGACAGCCATGCACTGCAGGGGCCCCCCAAAATCTGACTTAGTACCCAAGTACCTTTTGGCCACATGTCTTTCTCTCCTACCACAGTACCCTCAGGCCTGAACAGTCCCTAAGCCCGTTCCTGCTTCTGTATCTTTATTCATGCCAGTTTCCCTGCCTTTCAAGGAAAGGGGAGCTACAGTGGTTAACTGCTAGGCTGCTAACCAAAAGGTCAGTGGTTCAAACAAACCCACCAGACGCTCCAAGAGAGAAAGATGTAGCAGTCTGCTTCCATAAAGATTACCGCCTTGGAAACCCTATAGGGCAGTTATACTCGATCCTACAGGGTTGCTATGAATTGGAATCTACTCGATGATAATGGGTTTTTTATACAAGCCTGAGAGATGTCTGAGATGGACTATTAGAGGAAGGGACAGAACAAGAATGAGTACACAGGTCTAGTTCCACAGCCCAAGCCCTTAATTCCTATACCCTGCTGGCAGGAATACTTCCCACAATCAGAATTCTGTTCAGTGAAATTCATCTATCTTCCAAGGCCCTGTTAATCCCTCACCTCCTCCAGAAAGTCCTCCCAGACCATGTCAGCACACAGCTACCTCCTCTATCTTACTCAGCACCTACTTATCTACTGTAGGCATCTAGCACTTGTGCTATTAAATTTTTCTCCTTGTCTGCCTGCTTCTATGTGTGACCCTGATCATGCTACCTCCATTGCTCATTTGGGCTACTTATTAGCAATGCAGGTATCTGTGCTCCACCTCAATCTGTTATGGCCATGAATTTGCATTTACGAAGATTCTCTAGGACAGCGGTTCTCAAGGTGTGGTCCCTGGACCAGCAGCATCAGCATTACCTGGGAACTTGTTAGAAATGCAAATTCTCGGCCCCTACCCAGACTTACTGAATCAGAAACTATGTGGGTGGGGCCCAGCAAGCCCTTGGTTTGAGAACCACTGCGCCACACAACCACCACCCCTATCTGATTCCTCTTTGTTCCTACCTCAACAAGGTGCTTGGTGCATGGTGTGAGTATAAGTCACAACCCTGCCACCACACTTTTACAAGGCACCTGCTCAGGGAAGGTGGCCAACTGAGCCCACCTGCTCCACAAAGAACATGGGGACAGAAAATGCCAGCTGAGTATGCTGCATGCATGATCTGACATGGCTACTGTCCTCTACACAGCCTCTGAGTGGAGGGCCAGGCAGTCTCCCCAAACACAACTCCATGTTTAAGTTTTGTAAAAAAAACAAAACAAAACAAAAAACTTCCTGTTTTATTTCACGGACTTCAGCATACGCCCGTCCCCACCACCACGACATCCCCCTCCACACACAAAAGAAGGGGAAAATAAAGAAAGCCCTGGCTTCTGAGAGAGAAGTACCTGGTATCAAAGAAGGGCAGAGACATGCATACTGAGAGTGAGGGAATGCTACTCCATTTTGTGAGGAAGGAACCTTGATGGGGCAGGTGCCAGGCTGGATTAGGAGATGTGAGCTTGGCACGTAGGTAGTGGGCTTCTGTCTATTCTGGAAACCAAAAAGTTTCTCTGTGGCCAGATCTGATCAGAAAAACCAGAGCTCAGAGTCCCAGGAGGTACTGGTAAGCACGGCAGAGTGTAAATGCTCAGGCTCTTGAGTCAGACAGACCAAGGTCAAGTCTCAGCTCTACCCCTTCCTGGCTGGGTGGCCTTGGGCAAGTCTTCCTGGGCTTCAGTTCTCTCATCTATAAAAACCCCACAGGGTTGTGGTGAGAATTAAGTCATGTAGTAAAACACTTAGAACAGAGTAAGAACTTGGCATATGTAATAAATCCTCACTAAATCGTAGCTGCATTATTATCAACATTACTATTAGACAGTCAGATTTGAATGCATCTGGAAATAGCCTCTTGATGAGAAAACACACAAAAGCACAGTTCACATAAGCAAATTTTCTGGTAGCAGTTCATTTTATTTGTAAGAATACTTCACTGGCTCCAGGAAGTATTATGCTTATTCTTAGATGTCTTGTTATACACCACCATGCTTCAAGTAGAAATTATCATTTGCTCAATATACACTTTTTTTTTTTTAAATTGGGAAGAAAAGGAGAGAAATATGCATTAAATCCCTAAAACACGCAGCTGGCCATGGCAAAATGCTCTTCTGCGAAGTTCCACACCTCCCCAGGGGGTAACCCGTGAGATGCAGTGCTGGTGCCTGAAGAGTCACTTCCTGCCCCAGTCCTTTTGCTTACGAAGGCAGAATTCAGAGATGGAAACCTTGCACTCCAGTGCAACTCCTAGAGTACTCATGGGGCTCTCAATCAACACCTTCACAGTGCAGACCGGACCTCTTAACATGATCATGGCAAAAGTTACAGACTTCCTTAAGATTTTTTTTTCTCTTAATTCTGTACCAAGTAAAGGAAGATTCCCTACTATTCCGAGTTTGCGAAGAGTTTTATCATAAATGGGTGCTGAATCATACTGAAAGCCTTTTTTACATATAATGAGATAATTACATGGGTTTTCTCCCTTAACCTATTAAGCAGTGAGTTACATTAATATATTTGCTAATATTGAAACAGTCCTTGTGGTGTAGTGGTTAAGAGCTCAGCTGCTAACCAAAAGGTCGTCAGTTTGAATCCACCAGCAGCTCCTCGGAAACCCTACGCGGCAGTTCTACTCTCTTATAGGGTCACTATGAGTCGGAATCGACTCGATAGCAATGGGTTAATGTTTAAACAACTTTGCTTTCCTGGGATAAATTCAGCTTGGTCATGATACATTACTTTATGCATTGCTGGATTTGGTTTGCCACTATTTTGTCCAGGACTTTTACATCGATTATTCACGACTATAATAATGGTCAATTTTTCCTCTCTTACATTAATAATGTCTAGTTTTATTTCTAGGTCACTCTGCCTTTATACAATGAGTTGGGGAAATATGCCTGCTTTTGCTATTCTTTGCCTATGACTAGGATCATATATTTCTTGAATATTTGTTAATATTAATCTATAGTGACCTGAGCTTTGTTTTCTCTTTGCATTAATTTTTTTTTTACTTAAAAACCTAAGTCAGATCAGGTAATTTTTTTCCTCAAAACCCTCCAATAGTTCTTCATTTTGCTGTAAGGCCTTATACGGGTAGGGTCTGGCCTCCTGCAGCCTCTCCGAAGTTCCATATCCCACCACTCTCCCCTCATCCCCATGCTCCTGCCACACTGGCCTCCTTGTTGCTCCTCAATCAGGCCCAGAAAGTTCCTGCCTAAGTCCCTGTTCCCGTTGCTCCCTTAGCTGGGAATCTTTTGATCTGAAGCTACATGAGCTTCAGATCTCTACTCAAATGCCACGTTATCAGATAAACCTTCCCGGACTACCTCAAATAAAGCAAGACTTCCCTTTTCCACCACAGCTTTCTCTTTCCCTTATCCTCTGTAGCACTCAGCACTACCTGATACACACCTGGTTCCAATCTTGCTTCCCCCAAACCAAAATGTGAGCTCCGTGAGGACAGAAACTTTTTTTTATCTGCTCTTTCCTAGTGCCTAAAATGTGCACCTAGTTCACGCTCAGTAAATTTGCTGAATGAATAAGTAAATAAACAATGCTTCTATTTCCTCTGGCCTTCCCTATATAAAACCCCTAGGCAGTGGCAGGGAAAAGCCACTTGCCTCACCCAGGACAGGACTGGAGCCCCAACTGGCTACCTGCCCCTGGGGACATCACGCAGGAAGGCAGCTGCCAAAGTGTGAGGACGGTTCTTCCGAAGGTGCACTCACAGTGGCTGAGAGGCACTTACCTCCACACTCTTCAACGCCAGCACATTCTCTTCACTCCTCTGGGCCATTTCCACTTTGGGGGCCACGCCACAGATGCCACAGATCATGTCATTGTAGTCTCGGACAGTGAGGCACTCGAAAGCCCAGTAGCCACTGCACAGCAGCTCCTGCAGCTGGCTCAGCTCCTCTGAGGTCAGAGTCTTCTCTGGAAGGAGAGCAAGAGCACTGAGAAAGTCACAGAAAAAGACTCTGAGGCCACTAGGGGTGAACCAGCAAGAGTAGCAATTCCGAACGATTGCCTCTCCCCCAAAAAACTCAAGAGTACTAACTATTCTAAGGGGGAGGTACCCTAGCCTTCAAAGGCTCAGCTGGCAACTCAAAGAGCAATTCCAAACATAGTTATGACTGCCACGTACTAAGCAACTACTAGGTATGAGACACTGTGCTGACAGCTTTAAATACAGTCTCTCGTTTAACTCTCACAACCTTATAAACCAGGGGCTAGAATTAGCCTCATTTTATAACTGGAGAAATGGAGGCACAGAGAGTAACTTGCTCAGGGTTACACTGCCACTAAGTGACAGAGCCAATACTCGAACGCAGGCTGCCTGGATCCAGAGCCTCTGCTCTATTCCATCTGTCCTCACATCAGGCAAGACACAGGGGACTTGGAGTCCCTAGGAATGGGATAGGAAAAAACAAACAGATGTAAGGATAGCCAGGGGAAAAGTAATTCCTAGGTAGTAAGGAGGGTGGCCACTGCCCTCGTGTCTCAGCATAAGCCTTGGGACTGGCAGCAGACATCCAGAAGCTGTGTATTCAGAATGAGTGACTAACAAGCAGCGAGGCCAAGTATACTACAATCAGAGGATGTGCTTCTGAAAGTCAGTTTTGATTCCTTGCTAAGGGCTCCTGGATGCATGCAGAGACTTGTGCTTTCCAGAGTTAGTTTTGCATTTGTAAAACTCAAAAGGAATAGTGCATTAGGAGATCAAGAATGTCTCTTTTTCAAAATATCAGACTTTCCCCCCAAAGGATTCTTTTAACCAAAGCCCATCACAGGGAATTCCCTGACCTTGGGAAGGAATAAACCTTTACCTGTCTGCTCCTGCACTGACTTCAGAACAGCACTGATGGACACTCTGGGATCCTCTCCCAGCTTGATCTGGTTTCGGACTGCAAAAAGCAAGTCCAGGCTCACTAGCAGCCTGTTCCCCACATTAAAGAGACCTGCCAGGTTAAAAAGAGGCAACAAGGAAATTCACTGTAACATTCATCATCCACTATGACAAAAAATTGGAAACAAACTAAATGCCCATCAGTAGGGAAAGAGTTAAATTACGGTGCACTCAGAAAATAGGAAACTACACATCATTAAAAACAAGGTAGGCCTAAATGCTCTGATATGAAGTTGCCCAATATGTTGTTTACATGAAAACAGCATATACTGAAACAGTATGTATAACAGAATCTTTTTTTTACGTAAATCCAACAATTCCCTACCAGTCCTCAAGACCAAGAGGGTCACTCTTCTTCTACTTTAAACAACTGCACCTTGAGAAAAGGCCAGGAGCATCCTTTAGCTCAGGAATATGTAGGGAACATAACAAAGGCTAGATCATCCCTACACCAAATCCTGCAATAAAAGAATCGGAGAAATTTAAGTATAGTCAATTTAAGTCAGATAAAAGAGGATGATTTTATATGGCACAAAAGCAAATTTTGGAGTGTGTGTTTTCCTTAAAGAAGGTATAGAGGAGTGGTGGGGAAGGCCTTTCTAAACATGACACCAAAAGCTGAAACCACAAGGGAGAAGGTAAAAGCCGATTATGTACAATTAAAACAAAAGGAAAAAGCAAAATAACATTTGTGTTTAAAAAAAAAAAAAAAAAAAACACCATTAACAAATTTAAAAAACAAACTGATAAACTGATGGAAAAGTTTTAGAAATACACAGTGGTAACAGCTGCAAAAAAAGAAAGAAAAAAAAAGGCTACATGCTATATAAATATATATGACATTTTAAAAAAGACAAAACTTGGGACAATGGAGAGCAGACCCAAGTGGTAGTCAGGGGTTAAGGATGGGGGAATGGGGTGGTTTGACTATAAAGAGATAGTGCAAGAGAATGTTTTTGGATGATGGAACTGTTCTGTATATTGATTGTTTTGGCAATTACACAACTCAACACATTTGTCAGAACTCACAGAGCTGTACAACAACAACAAAAGTAAATTATACTATTTGTATATTTAAAAGAGAAAAAAACAAACCAAAAAAAAAAACACTCAAAAATTGTAATCCTGAAGGCTGCCCTATACTGCAGGGAAATGGGCACTTCCGCTACTGGCTGATAAGAGCACAAATTAGCACAAACTCAGACTGGCCATACAAACACTTATTAAAAGCAAAATTCAAAATGAGGCGCCATAATGTTCTGAAGAGGAAGCGAATAAACCCTTTTTCAGCTTCAGCACTCTATTCTTCATATGAAACTCAAGATTTAATCGAACTCTCACAATGGCTGGTACGTGGTTAAGTGTTTGATGCTGAGGAATGAATAAAGGGGGGAAAAAGGGATGAATACATAGTAATTCCATTTTTGAGCCTGCTAACCTGCTGCCATCGAGTCAATTCCGACTCATAGCAACCCTACAGGACAGAGGAGAGCTGCCCCATAGGGTTTCCAAGGCTGTAAATCTTTACAGAAGCAGACTGCCACATCTTTCTCCCACGGAGCAGCTGCTGCGTCTGAATTGCTGACCTTTTGGTTGGTAGCTTAGCACTTTAACCACTGCACCACTGGAGTTCCTTCCACTTTTGAGCAAAGGAAAGAATTAAGGATGTACACAAAGACTTCATTATAAATAGGACTACAGAACGACCACCACACACCCCTTAAGAATGGTAATGTATTTCTGCACTTGCTGGCATAGGAATGTCCACGATATACCACTAAATGTAAAAAGCAGGTTCTAAAACAACATCTAGCACAAACATTCTTTTGTACAAAGAAAAAAACTATACACGTTTAAATCCTTCCACACTTTCTTATACTCTGCACTGGTTTTACATGTGATTTTATGTATGGAATAAACTCATCTGAAAGACGGGACAGCACAACGCTAAGTGTTCATCTCCTGACAGTAGAATCGCTATTGATTTTTAATTTCTTCTTCTTACCTGCCTGCATTTTCCAGTTTTTCCACTATGAAAATCTGTTATTTTTAAATTAAATTTTGTTTTCAAGATCTCAGATAATGGAGTCCTAACACTAGAGAGGAAAATGCAATCTCTGGCGCTGAGGCATTCAGGAGGAAAACCCCTCCTCTCCAGTGCTCAAAGGACCAGCGGTCTGACCCATGGAGGCTGTTCTCAAGGCTGCTTTGGGGCCCTGTGCAGGAAGAAAAGGCTGGCACCCACCTGTGTAGATGTCCATGAAGCTGTGCAGGGCCAGACAATGGGGGTTCAGACACATCTTCACCTGGGCAGTCACCACCTGCAGCCGGTTGGCTGTCAGTAGCCAGCACTCCTGGGGCCCAGCCATAGAGCTAGTACCAAAAACATCACATCAAAAAAACACGGGAAATTCTTAATGCCATTCCAGGGCTCAGTGACCAATGACAAAGTTCTTAAAGACTTTAATGCAGCAGGCAAATAAAGGTGGTGGAGCTTGGGTTCCAAGGTTTCCCAGGTGGGTGTTGTCACGCAGGTTGAATCTGGTCTGCGGAACACCCTCAAAGTTAATATAACTCTCAACTTATTAATAATTTAACCAATCCCACTTAACCCCCAAACCCAAACACTATGCTGGGTGGTCTAGACGTAAACTAAATCCTAAATTGGTAACAAACACTTTCAGGCATTTTCAACAGAGATAACCATAATAATTAATAATTATTATCATTATTACTTCAGCAATTGGAAAGGTAAAGGAAACCTAAAAATATCAGAGAATAACACCTTCAAAGGTTATAGCTTTAAGGAGTCCAAAGAAAGCAGTATAGGGGCTCAGAAGAATGAGACAGCTAGGGGCACAATAAGTCTAGAAGGGGTGCTTACTTTTGTCCCCCTTTGAATAACGAGCTGCTACAGAGAAGGCACTGCGTGGATGGAAACTCGTAGTAATTCGACCAAGAGGTTTGCTCGATGGTGACTGTCTCCTCACTCACACTGGACAGGATGAGTCGAGAGCTGTTGAGTTCATGAATCAAGGCGAAGACCTCAGTCAGCTCTGACTCGTTCTCAGGAATCTGCAGGACTTTGCGCAGCAGCTGCAGCGTGGACTGGCGCTGGATCTCCCTCTGGGCTGCACTCAGGGGCTCCGTGGCACTCAGCACATCTGGAAGTGGTGAGCTTGCCTCCTGGGAAGAGTGGATGAATCACTAAGCACGAGGGGCAGAAAGGGTTAGCATCAGGTCAAAATAACAAGAGACTGCAAGCAGCAGAGGGATGGGCCCATGACTGAGATGGAAAACCTCAGTTCTTGACCAGCTCAGCTACAGGTGCTTTCTCTCTCGCGGACTTAGTTTCTCTTTCAGTAAAATGAGAGGTTTATATACACCTCCTGGTAATGGATTCAAGAGTTAGCTTCCATGCATAAGGTATGAGCTTTAGGGGCTAAGAGACTTGGGTTTGAGCTCTGGCTATGCCACTTAATAGCTGTACATGTATGACCAAAAGCAATTTACTTAACTTTTCTAAGCCTCAATTTCCTCATCTGTGAAATGGGGATAAAAAACACTACTAATCTCACAGAGTTGTTGTATGGTTGAATGAGATATTACAAGTAAAGCACTCAGCACAGTGTCTGGGATGCAATGAATACTCTGTGAACGGTGGTTTTGATACAGAAGCAAATAATCTGTATTGTAAGCCCCTGCCCCAACAAACACCAAGTCTTTACTTCTTTGCAGCTTTTGGGTAAAAGATAACTCTACACACCAGTCAGAAATTTCCAAAAGAAAGGTTCTAAGACGATGGTTAGAAACAGGTCCTTCTCAGATGGGACCCTTTTCAATGGAGGCTCCTCCATGACCCATTTCACCAGTGCTGAGTTAACTATGCCCCCCTTCAGGTTCCCAGAGTACATCCCCCCTTTACTGCAAATTCAATGTCTCACAGTTCATAAACTGTCTCCCCTCTTCAGTGAGGAGGGTTGCTGCTTATTCACTGATTCCCAATACTAGCACGAGACCTGGCACACAACAGATGCTAGTTCACAATTACTGGACGTATTATACATTGCTTTGTAGAAGTTAATTATAATCAGAAGCTTTCAATTAATTCTGTATACCTATGATTATTCTTGTCTGTCTCTGTAATTACTTGGTCACTTATCTTTCTCCCCCACTAGACTCTAAGCTTTTCAAAGGAAGGAGTCATGTCCTATTCATCTTTGTATCTCCACAGGCCTGGGCCATAGGAGGCATTCAACATATGCTAGCTGAAGGAATGACTGAATGATTGGCTGCAGAAGAGCTGACTAACACTAGACAGAGCTGCCCTGGGAGGTTGTGTGTGCCCTGTCATGGCTATACTGACCACGGGCTGGAAGACAACTCGGCAGGAATACTGTCCTTTGACTCCAAGCCAGAAATAAAGGATGGAAAGGACTGAAGACCATTCCAGCCCAGAGATTCTGTAGCCTTAGTTACAGCAGCTCAAGACAAACTGCTTAGGAAACAGATGGCCACCAGGGGGCTCCAAAATGCAATAAACAAAAACGCCCCTGGATTTCAGACCAGTGTTTCTTGGAAAACAAAATACATCTAAAGTTTAAGAGATTAAAAGGTTAGAATATGTCTGAAGATGAGGGAAGGTCTGAAAGTGAGGATTCTAGAAGCTACCAGTCAGCCAAAGAGAGAGGTATATAAATAATAGTGGGATTTGAAATCAACTGGCAAGAGGCCCCTAAACAAAACTCCTGCTGGACCTGGAAAGTTAAATCACCTCATCATTACTCTTAGGAGTCCTGGTGGTGCAGTGGTTAAGAGCTTGGCTGCTAATCAAAAGACTGGCAGTTCAAATCCACCAGCCACTCCTTGGAAACCCTACGGGGCAGTTCTACTCTGTCCTATAGGGTTGCTGTGAGTTGAAATTGACTCAACGGAATAAGGTTTTTTTTTTTAAAAATCACTACTCCTAGAGCTAGAAGGTAACATCCATTTCCATACTCAAACCACACAAATAAGCCACAATGAAATGGAAGGAGAAAGAAATGTTCAGAGCATCTACCTACACCAAACTCAATTCCATCCCACAATTACTGATCAACACATTGTATATGCAAGCTCCAGGGTTATACCTGCCCTAAAAGATTGTGGTCTTGTGAGGGAACTAAGAGAGGATTCAAGGTAGGGTATGATCAATACTGTGGAAAGAGGAGCATAATAAGCACACGGAGAATCCAGGAGAGAAAGCTCACTTCAGCAGAGGGGACCTGATAGAGAAAAAGGAAACATGACAGAAGCTATGGACCCATTCTCCAAACATTTTCAGGGGTTTACAGACTCCTTGAAGCTCAATTCTGGGTCTTCTGAGAGTAATAGCCCCAGATCTAATCCACCCTGTTCACCTTGTTTCACCAATGGGGGAAACTTAAAGCTCAAGAGAGGGAAGGCTTCCAACTCAGGCTCACTCCCAGCCATGTCTCCTAATTCCTAGTCCCAATGCTTTTTTTCCACTAAGCCCTCAGCGCCCACACTTTGGTTCCACTTCCCCCATTATCACAAGAACCGTAACTTCAGAACAATGCCTCAAACATAGAAACAGACGTGGAGACCAAGAGGTGAGATTCATTTGCCAGAAAGGCCCTGCCCCATGTGTAAAGAAACTTTTACGCTTGAAGCATTTGTCCCCATCTTTCTAGTCCTGTCTAATCCCAAACCCCCATATATATCCCTCCTGAAGTAACATTCCTTCTGGGCCTCTTCCTGGTTCAAGGACATTCAGTGGGATCCCACTGCCTGAAGAACAAATTACCCAGTCTGTCATTCAAGACCTTCCGTGATGTGGTCCTACTATGCCTTTCAAGCCTTATCTCCCATAACCCTCTGTCCTCTCTCCACCTCTACTCCTACATACACCTTCTCTTCTAGGCAAATGGAACGCTCACCAACTCCCTACTCTTGCTTGTCCTTGAGTACCACATGCCTTCCCCTTCCGTCCAAATCCTGCCAAGGTCCAGCTTAGATCTGGAATGGCCCAGGCTCAATGTCCTGGATCCTGGCCTGTTCCACGTGCCATCCCCCTCTCTACAAGGCAGATCAGTAACATTTCTCTTCCTACCCCCATCCTAGTCACTCCACGGACTGCCTTAGATGTTGTCGCTTTCTTATTCATTTAAAAAAAACACTTGTGTGTGGAAATTTAGAGGACCTTTGAAAATGCCTGTTTTTCCTGGTTCTAGTAATAATAAGAGCTCTAAGAAGCAATGCAAAATGTGTTTCACTATCCAAATAGTTTGGTCCAACTTCAGAGAGCAGGCTTGCCAAGACTGCTAGAAATACAACTTTGTGGTTAGCAGAAAAGCTTTGCAAGGAACCTGAGAGAGAAACAGCGATCTAATCTAGAAAGTCTTGGAACTGGAACCCTCTAACTATTTACTGAAAGAACAGATCAACTTACAGTTCTTCCACCAGACCTCAGAGCTGAGAAGATGCAACCCTTTCATCCCTCTGTTCTTTTGAATCCTATTTTAAGGCCCGTGCTGCCATTCTCCTTGGTGAATAACCCTTAGTCCACAGAGATCAGGGCACCTGGCCTACCCCCTCACCTTAGCAATGGGGACAAGGAGGGCCAGAGAGAAGGTACTTGCCCAGGTTCAGAACCTATAACCTGGTTCCAGTTCTGGTGCCCTAACTACTATGATAAACTTGTATTTCCACTAAAACAGATGGCTAACAGAGCTCAACATCAAGGCCAGGGTATGTGTTTGGGAAAGGCACTCACGACAGCCTTGGTGGTTTTCTCAGTCCGGTCTTTGGCAAGGTTAAAACCACAACTGGGACAAATTCGCGGTTTGTGTCGGTTGGTGTAGACATAGCTACAAGAGGGGTTCTTGCACTTTCCCCGGCCTCTCGATGTAGCCAGGCCCAAGTCCTAAAAAAAATAAAACCAACATTTTATAAAAGGTTTAAGTTATACCTCGGCAGAGCCAAGAACCAGGATGACCAGCCATCAGTAAATCTGAGAAGACAGTAACAACTGCAAAACCAGATTTAGCCTAACCCCCAAAGAGCCTTGAAGGTACATTCCTTCTCTGCAGTTATCCCCTTCAATTTTAATACAGGCTATATAATCTGTCAAGTCACTCCCCATCTGTAAAACAAGTGAGCTGACTCTCAATGTCAGAAATTCAAATACCTTTAGAGTCCAGGCATTGAGCCTGTTGTAACAAGGAATGCTAGAGAATGTGGTGAAATAGATTCCAAGCACTGCCTAAAGACAAACAGAGATTTCTGGACAACTTAATCCCAAAGCTCTGACATCTATGCTCCTAAAACAAGCTACTGTCCTAATCAGCTGAAGAGAAGGTCCCCAGTAGTTCCCACCAGATCAGCTATAGATAGTGGCCACAGTAAGATGCAGCAGGAGAGTGGTCTCCTATAGCCCAGATAATAGAGGGTGAGGGTGTGGAGGGCACGGGGAAGGTAATTAGGTCATTAGAAAAGGACACCTGACAGATCTCCAGGATGTGAGACACATTCCTAGGGATCGGGCCAGAACTAGGTATTAACCCACCATATTGTGCTGTCTTGTTCACTACTGATATAATCTCCAGCATGGGGCTTGACACAAAGTAGGTGCTTAATAAATATTTTTAAATGAATAATCTTTTTTGAACCTGTCTGCCTTTATCAGATGAGAATTTTTTAAGCATATCAACCCCAAGTGTTAGTGAGAATATGGAACAGCACAAACTCATAAGCTACTGGTATGAGTAAAAATTAGTGGAATCAATTAGTAGCACAATTTGATAGTAGCTAGCAAAGTTAAAGATGTATACTCTTCCACTCAGCAATTTCATTTCTAGGTATTTACTCTAGTGAAACTTTTTTTTTTAAAACAATAACCCTCCATTCCCTCCCAGCCCCCGAGCACTTGGTAACCACTAATCTACTTTTGCCTCTATGCATTTGCCTATTCTAGATATTTCTTAGAAGGGGGATCATAAAATTCTTGTCCTTTCGTGTTTGACTTACTTCACTTAACATAATGTTTTCAAGGTTTATCCATGTCGTAGCATGTATCAGAACTTAATTTCTCTTTATGACTGGATAATATTCCATTTATGTATATAACACAGTCTATCCATTTGTTGATGGACACTTGGACTGTTTCCACCTTTTAGCTACTGTGAACAATGCTGCTGAGTTTCCAAGCGTCTCTTTGAGACCCTGCTTTCAATTCTTTTGGGTATATACCTAGAAATAGAATCGCTGGGTCATATGGTAATTCTATGTTTCACTTTTTGAGGAACTACCAAACTGTTTTCCACAGCAGCTGCAGCATTTTACATTCCCATCAATGGACAAGTGTTCCAATTTAGCCATATCCTTGCCAACACTTATTACCGTATTTTAATAGCCATTCTAGTGGGTGTGAAGTGGTATCTCAATGTGGTTTTGATTTGCATTTCCCTAATGACTAATGAGACTGAGCATCTTTTCATGTGCTTATTGGCCATTTGTCTATCTTCTTTGGAGAAATGTCTATTCAAGTTCTTTGCCTATTTTTAAATTGGTTTATTTTTTTGTTGCTGAGTTGTAGAAGTTCTTTATATATTCTGGATATTAAACCCTTATCTGATACATGGTTTACCAGGCGAGAAATTTAAAAAATCTAGCTGCTCTCTCAAAATCTGTTTATCTTCCCCAAATCAGCTGGAGAACCAGCCAAAAGGATACCTTAAGGATCAACAGAATTAGAAAATGTTAAGAGTGAGAGAAGCCCTAAGAGGCTATCTGTATCGATGCAGCATTTTATAGATGCTGAAACTAAGGACTAGAAAGGAAAGAACTTTGCCCATAGTCACATGGCACATTAGAGGCAGAGTAAGAACCACTTTTGGACTAGGTCTTTCAACTGTCTAGTGTTTATTCCACTGCTCCATGCTGCTTACCCTGCAAAAGGACAACCCCACAGTCACACATTTGTTTACTGGGTGTTAATACATGTTACGTTAAAAATAAAAGGGGAGGAAAAAGGGGAAACCCTGGTGGGAAATACTAGGCTAAACAAAGGAACTAAGAAGCTTTACTAAAGGACTTCTCTAACCCTTTAAGATACCAGTATTGAATGTGGCTCGCTTTTAGACAGCAAAAGTGTAATGTTTCCCAAACTCATCTGTGGAAGACGCTTTGTAGGCTGAAAGATTCAAAGACTGGTGACTGTTAAAGTTGGACTGCATTCTCATCTCTGAATACTCAAAAACAATATCCTAATCTCAGCTGGACTACACTTTACAGATCTCACTTGGAAAAAACATAGCTGATTCACCAAGTAGTTATCATCTGTATCACTGACAGGCTCTTCAGCATCAGTGATCTACACCTTACCCTGCTCTCACCTCCAACTACCCCTCCCCTAACGCACCCTCAACCACATAATCAAATCAACCTCTGTATCAACCCACCACCTGGTCACATACTTACCAGCGTGACAGTACAGCTGTACTTATATGGAGGAAACATGTCAGGCTTGACCTCTACAACTTTCACCTGAGATGTCCTATGGGCTGGGCCATTTGGTAGCTGTGAATCAGAACAAACAACTTAGTGCTTTTGAACCTCAGCCCAAATCCTCAGGTCCCGTGTCCTGAAACAACTTGAGGAAATAGTTTCTGGGGGAATTTTGATAGAGATATGTTTCAAATGAGGCTTTTGGGCTGCGAGTCAGCAGTCACTCGGCCCACCAATGGATGAATGTCACTTTCAAGTCCGGAGGTTGCAAGCTCTTCTGTGCAGCATCTAACACTGTACATTAGAAACACTATGGACTGATTTACAAACTATTATCAAGTGATAAAAGCACATAATAGATATACATACAAATCTATGGCTGAATAACGCTGGCACAGAAAGAAGTCTGAAAGACTATTTACTAAAATGCCAGGGGGATGAGAGGAAGATTATGGTTGTCTTCCCCCCTTTCACCACTGTCTGTAAAATTTTCAAATATACATAGATATTACTTACATGATGAAAAATGAGAGAAAACATAAAGGAAGCATACTAAATTAAAAGTAATTATTTTGTAATTCTGAATTTAAGTTGATTTTCCGAATATAGGATTTTATGTAACTTATTGGTTTAAGACTGGCAAATAAGCTTGTGGCTTTTAACAAAAACCTCATGGGGCCAATCAAAAGAAGCCATTTACAGAGAAGACTGGGAGTTCACACAAGTGACAAAATAGTATACAGGAAGTGAATCTATGGGCTGGAAATCTACAAAGCTGCTGAAGCTGATTCAGTATCTTCCTTTTACACTGCAAGATCACACATGCACCCAGAGCTGCTACCACCTCTGGGTGACAAACATAAGAGCCCTCAAAGTAAAAGCCAGTTGGTATTCTTGGCAGGGAAAATGTAGTACTTTCAAACAAAGGAAGTTACCTCACAAGGCACATGGCAAGAGAGACAGCAGACTGATTTTCCTACAACTTAATCTTTGGCAGTGTTTTTCAAAATGCGGCTCAAAACCCACTGAGAGGTCGTAAAATTAATTTAATAAGCTGAAACCAGCATTTTGTAAAACAGAAATGGAAACTACCAAAATGACTGCATATAAAAAGGGAAGAGCTACATTAACATTTAATGTGCATACGTGTATGTATGTATGTGTTCACTGGACTGTGATATAAAAATGCGTTTGCTACTATGGGTCAGGTCATTGTCAAAAAAGTTCGCAAAATACTGATCTAGGAAATTTTGATCGTAACTATTCTAGCCACATATGACAAAGGAACTAAAATAAATAAATATGGATGTGCCTGAAGTTATGGATACTTCCTAGATACAACCAAACACCTCACAGGATTGGTCTACTGGGTTTGAGGGCTTAGAACCATAGTCTTGTGTGGCAACTCAGTCAACTGGCATAATATGGTCCATAAAGACAATGTTCTACATCCTAGTTTGGTAAGTAGTCTGTGCGGTCTTAAAATCTTGCAAGCAGCCATCTAGGATACAACTATTGGTCTCTACTTATCTGGAGCTAAAGCAAAAGAAGGAAACCAAAGACTTGAAGAAACAAGTCTACAGAACCAATAGTCTACACGAACAATGACATCACCTACCTTGAGACCAGAAGAACTAGATGGTGCCCGGCTACCACTACCAACTGTTCCAACCAGGGACACAATAGATGGTCCTTGACAGAATGGGAGAAAAATGTAGAACAAAACTCAAATTCCTAAAAAAACAAAGGCCATGACTTACTGGACCAGTGGAGACTAAAGGAACCTCTGAGACTATCACCCTTTAAACTTGGAACTCAAACCACTCCCCGAGGTCACTTTAACAGCTAAAAGACGGAGCGGCTCATAAGATAAATATCACCTGTGAGTACTGTGCTCTTCTAAACAATCATTTAAATGAGACCTAAAAGTCAACATTTACACAGATCGAAGATGAGAAGGTAAAGGGGGACAAGGAAGCTAGATTAATGGAAACAGACCAACCAGAATGGAAATAATGAGAATGCTGACACACTGTAAAAAGTGTAACCAATGTCACTGAATAATATGTATAGAAATTGTTAAATGAGAATCTAATTTGCTATGTAAATTTTATCCAAAATCATAATATTAAAAAAAAAGAAAAAAAGAATGTGCTTGAATACATGGAACTTTGACAAACCAGACTGTCAACAGTAGTTCATTCTGGGAAGCAGGATCATGAGGACTTACTTTCTTCCTGCTTTACCTGAAATTTCTACAACAATCATGCATTCATTTTTTAAGGAAAGCTAAAAAGAAGTCTTGCTAGTGCAATGGTTAAGCACTTGGCTGCTAACCAAAAGGTCAGTGGTTCAAACCCACCAGTGGCTTCACCAGAGAAAAGACCTGACATTCTGCTCCCATAAAGACTATCACCTACGAAACCCTAGGAAGCACTTCTACTCTGTCCTAAAGGGTCACTATGAGTCAGAATTGACTCCACGGCACACAACAACAGTAACGACAAAGAGGCATGTGTGATAACTAAATGCATTATTCAATCCTAGACTGGATCCTAATCAGAAGGGAGGGAATGCTATATAGGACATAACTGAGTAAAACTGACAAAACTGGAATACAAACGATAAAGTACCGTATCAATGTTTCAGTAAGAGTATATCCCCATTCTTAGGAAATACACACTGAAGCATTAAGGAGTAAAGGGCGATATAACTTACTCTCAAATTATGTATGCTTTACACACTCATGCAGCTGTGTGGACACGTGGCCACACCCACACACCCACACACAGTAGGCAGGGAGCGAACATGAGCACAAATGATAAAGCAAAATGGGTTAATATGTTAACAACAGGCAACTCTGGGTAAAGAGTTTTTTTTTTTTTTTTAA